CAGTGGCATAAATGAATAATAACCATGTGATATAATAAAAGGATGTATATTCAAAATAATGTTCAAGGTGTTTTGTGTGTATGTATGTGTGTGTGTGTTTCTAAAATGGAGTCTGTATGCAAGATGGCTGACCCCTTTGTCTGGCTAAAGTGTGAGTGGCAACTTGCACTTTAACTTCCAAGGCACTTAGAATCATCAGTAACTTAACCTTAAATTCACTCAAAACATTTCAAAGGATCATGAAACAACACAAAGGATTAATCACGAATAATATCTTTTAGTTTAACCACGTGGCCAAGCAGAAAACATTTAAAGATACCAAACAATGATCAATAAGCAGTTTATTTATTCAAAATGACCCGGCGGACGTGTTTTGGGAACGAAAGAGGAAAACACGAAGCTACTTTTTAAGCAATAGCGCGGTTTTATTGCTTATTCTGGACTATAGAGGAAACGGGAGAAGAAAAGGAGAGAGAGAAATGAGTTTTCTGATCACCAGAACAGTGAAGCGTCCCTCACTGTTTTGATTTGACGGTTCTCCGTATTTCTCCGCAGTTTGGCGTCGTCCGTCGGTTTGATGGGTTTCTCCGTTGTTTCTCCCCACGAGTGTTTCTCCACGGGCTGGACACAAAGAGAACGAAGTTTCTTTTGGGCTGAGTTTGACAACTTACAGCGTCTCTGAGAGCTGGATGGAGCTCCGCTCGTTCCCAGTCAGGTCCTGATGGAGTTGGAGTGTAGTTTCCAGCAGTTCCGTGGCTCAACTTGGGCACTTAGAGCTTCCGCGTGCTCAAGTTGTCGGAGCGTTCGACAAGCGTGTCCTTACCGCCAGGTATCCTGGGCAAAAGAACGAGGTTCCTTTGTCTTTGCTGAAGATTTATGGTCTTAGTTTGCGGGAAAAGTTCCATGGCCTCCCGCACATGCGCAGAACGTGTTTCTGGTATTAGGCGGTGACATCATCACAATGCTTCCGTGTGCAAAGCATCATGGGAAATGAAGTTTCTTGGCGCTGATGTGATTATTTGCTTTTCAGAGCAATTTAAGCACAGTCATTTTGGAGAAAATCACTGCATAGTAATTTCCTCATGAGGTCAGACCCTCAACAGCGGGGAGAGCAGAATAAAGAGAGAGGGGTTGAAGAAGGTCATACAAAAGCCAGCTTGAACAAGTGAGTCTTCAGCTGTTTTTTAAAGGAGACCACTGAGTCCACTGATCTCAGGCTCAGGGGGAGAGAGTTCCAGAGTCTGGGGGCCACAGCAGCAAATGATCTGTAACCTTTGGTCTTTAGCCTGGTGTGCTGCACAACCAGTAGGCTTTGATCACTGGACCTCAGGGACCTGCTGGGGGTGTAGGGAAGATCACCAATGTAAGATGGTGCTTGTCCATGTAAGGCCGTATAGACCAGAACCAGGATCTTGAAATGAACCCTGAAGGTGACTGGCAGCCAGTGAAGCTGGAGGAGAAGCGGGGTGATGTGGGTGTGTTTGCAGGACTTGGTCAGAAGCCGAGCACAGGCATTCTGAACCACCTGTAGACGGTTCAGGGAGGTTCTGCTCAGACACGTGAAAAGAGAGTTACAGTAGCCCAAGCGTGAGGAGATGAAGGTGTGGATAACTGTCTCAAGTTCAGAGCGAGACAGAATGGGACTCAGCTTAGCAATGTTCCTGAGATGGAAGAAGGAAGAGCGAACAAGAAGACTGACATGAGAATCCAGGGTGAGAGCTGGGTCAAAGGTCACGCCAAGATTCCTGACAGAAGGTTTGGTGTGAGAAGCAAGTTCACCAAGAGAGTCTCTGACTTTGGGAACCACCTTGTCTGGGGCACAGATGAGGATCTCAGTCTTATCTTCATTCAGCTGAAGAAAGCTCCCAGCCATCCAGGTTTTGATAGAGTCTAAGCAGGTGTGTAACAGCTGCAGCTTAGATATCTCATGGGGCTTAAAGGAGATGTACAGTTGGATGTCATCTGCATAAAGATGGTAGGAGATTCCTTTGAAGGAGCTCAGGATGTGCTGAAGAGGAAGCAGATAGAGGAGGAAGAGCAGAGGCCCCAGCACAGAACCTTGTGGGACACCATGGGTAAGAGAGGTGGTGGAGGACCTAAACTTGGAGACGGCCACAGAAAAGGAGCACTCTGAGAGATAAGAGGAGAACCACTCCAAAGCAGATCCTGATAGGCCTACCCAGTCTCTCAGCCTCTCCAGTAGCAGGCGATGGTCAACAGTGTCAAAGGCTGCAGTCAGGTCCAGCAGGACCAGAACAGAACAGTCCCCTGCATCACTGTGAGTCAGAAGGTCATTAGAGACCCTAAGAAGAGCTGTTTCAGTAGAATGAGCTCTACGAAAACCTGACTGGAAGCTATCATAGATGTTATGTTCATCAAGAGCAGCTGTGAGTTGTTTAGCCACAACCTTTTCCAAGATCTTGGAGATGAACGGAAGTTTAGAGATGGGTCTGAAGCTGCTATGAGAGAGGAGTCAAGACTCGGTTTTTTAAGAAGTGGGTGGATTACAGCATTCTTAAAGTAAGCAGGGACCTGACCAGAAACCAGAGAAGCATTAATTATAGAGAGCACGCTGGGACCGATGGACTGAAAAGCACTTTCAAACAAAGATGAGGGTAAGATGTCGAGGGGGCATGCAGAGGTCTTCATAGAGTTAACTAGTTTGGTTAACTCAGGCAAAGAAAAAGGAGCAAAGCTATCTAGGATGATGGGCCTGGTTGGAGTCGGGAGAGGCAGCGATAAGGCTGAAGGAGAGATGCTAGATCTAACCTTATTGACTTTGTCCACAAAGAAAGACAAAGTTCTCACAGTCTGTAACAGAGTGGTTGGAGGCTGTAGGAGAGGCAGGAGAAACAATGCTGCTGATGGTGTTAAACAGCACCTTAGGGTTCCCTTTGCTCTGGGACACCAGGTTGGAGAAATAGGAAACCCTGGCGTCTCCTGAGTTAAAGAATGTCAGAAGAGATGGACGTGGAGATGGGTTTTCTTCCACAAACACTCAATTTTTCTGCACTGGCGCTTCAGGCTGCGATGCCTGTCATTAAACCAGGGAGTAGGGTTCACTGCAGGAACTGATCTGGTTCTGACAGGACAGATGTTGTCCAGAATGGAGAGGCAGTGCTCGTTAAACTGAGAAGTTAAGGAATCTGGGTCGTTATCAGAAGACCAGGGTGGATCAAAAGCAGCAGAAAAATTGCTAGCTGTGCTCTCATTAAGAAAACGAGAACTAAACATTCGGCGAGCAGGAGGTGGGGACGCAGAAACTGACAAGTTAAAGAAAATGCAATGATGATCTGAAATATAAACGTCCTCAGGACAAACACTGTCAGCATTTAGACTCAGGGTAAAAACAAGGTCTAGAGTGTGCCCCCTGGTGTGTGTGGGGCCAGAAACATGCTGGGTAAAGCCAAAGGAGTCCATAAGGCTGGAGAAATTCATGGCAAAGTGATCGGAGGGATCATCAACGTGGATGTTAAAGTCACCAACAATCACCAGTCTGGACAGCTTCACAGAGGAGGATAGAAAGTCACTAAACTCCTGAAGGAAAGAACTGTTTGGACCAGGTGGACGATAGACCACAGCACAGTAGAACGGGTCCTTACGCCCGACTTTAATCAGCTGCAGTTCAAAGGAAGCAAAGTGACCAGAGGTTGTAGAGCTACATGGAAGATGGTCTCTGAAAACAACAGCTAGGCTTCCACCACGACCAGAACCCCGAGGCTGGCTAAGAAAAGAATAACCACTCGGGCAAAGTTCAATCAGAGCAGAATAATCAGATGTTTGCTGCCAAACTTCAGTCAGAAACAGAACATCCAGGTTTTTAGAGAGAATTAGATCATTGAGCAGGAAGGTCTTATTGTTAACAGAGCGGGAATTTAATAGAGCCATGCTGAGTGAGGTGGAGGAATCAGAAACTACAGAAACAGCTGGAGTTAGTGGACGTAAATTAGTAGGGTTAGATCCACGGTGTTTATAAAAACCACTTATGGAGGGAACAGGAGGAGAAACCACTGAGGATTGAGGATAAACCAACCTTAAAAAACTTGGACGGATGAACCGCGTTCCAACGCGGCCTTGCGGGAATGCGAAAGTGGCGCCCAGGTCACCAAACAAAGGACAAGAAGTTAGAAGATCGCGCCGATGTTTACTAGATAAACCACGCTTTAAGAGAAGTCTTATTGAGGGTGTCAGTGAGCAGTCAGGTCGGCAGTCTTACCCATGATTGCGGTTTTGAGTAATGAACCAGGCTGGGAGTTTTTTAATGCCTCAGGAATCTTTTGCAGGTGTTTAGAGTTAATTAGTTGATTCAGATGATTAGGTTAATAGCTCGTTTAGAGAACCTTTTCATGATATGCTAATTTTTTTAGATAGGAATTTTGGGTTTTCATGAGCTGTATGCCAAAATCATCAATATTAGAAACAATAAAAGGCTTGAACTACTTCAGTTGTGTGTAATGATTCTAATATATTTGAAAGTCTAATGTTTATCAGTACATTACAGAAAATAATGAACCTTATCACAATATGCTAATTTTTGGAGAATGACCTGTATTTAGGCACATTTCTGATAGGTGTCAAAAGTTTACAAGCTTTGAAGGGTTACAACATTTAACGGGCAAAGTTTTGTAATTTTGTTAAAGGTGGAAATGAAAATATAATCCTTTTAGAGAAAAATTTCAAAACAAGGTTTTAGAAGAAGAAGAAGAAGAAATGTTTTTACATAGCAGTTTTCTAGATAAAAATCACAGGGTGCTTCACATGTACAAAAAAAATAAAGATTAATATTTTGTTTATTACGTTAAATGCCTTGAGATGACGCTTGTTGTGATTTGGTGCTATATAAATAAACTTGAATTGAATTGAATTGAATATTTCAAAAGAAAATTGAAAAATAAAAATACAGAAAAACACTAGAATATATTCTTAGTTTGCAAATGAAATTAATTAAATGTTTTGTGTCTTTACTTTCACAAGAAACATTTCTGGTTTCTTTCCGGCAGGCAGTCGTCGCTCCGTGGACGTCATGGACGTGAGCACTCAGAAAGGCTCTGAGATGAGCATGGCTCAGTTTGTCCGCTATTACGAGACGCCAGAGGAAGAGCGAGACAAACTCTTCAATGTCATCAGCCTGGAGTTCAGCCACACTAAGCTGGAGAACCTCATCAAGCGGCCAACAGTGGTAACATAACCTGACACTGATATCCTGAACATCACAAACAAAAACTGTGATTAAGAATATTCAGGCTGAAGTTTGGGTTGCTGCCTCAGATGGATCAAGTCGACTGGGTGGACAACATGTGGCCTCCTGACCTGAAAAAAAGTCAAACAGAATCCACCAACATCATTTCAGAGATGAAGTATCCTAAAGTGCAGAGGTATGCGTTTGCTGTTGTTAGCTTGTGTTTGGATTGTTATTTTAAGAAAGGAAAAGGATTCCCTACTTAAAATCCTGCAACTCCACGTTTCCTCTCCCGCTAACTGAATTTCTCATGCATCGCTCCATCAGTGTGTACTTTCACCTCCTGTTCCTGCGTGATTGTTGCTAGGCAGTAGGTTATTTTGCACAGAGAAGGTTGGCTTTTAACTGTTGTGCTCTAACTGCAGACATCTCTCAGCCAATCAGCTCAAGTCAATGGAAAGAAAATAAAAATGAGTAATGGATTCCCGTTTAACCACTTTTGACATTAGGTCAGTTCATAGAAGTTAGATCAGAGCCCTGCTGCCTCTCTGAAGGAAAACGCTTCGCTTTTCCGGGGAAAACCCTGCTAAACGAGTGTCCCACTTTTAAATTATGTAAATAAATAAAAAGATTGACCAAACTACTTTCCACTTTTTCAGAAATTTGTCTCTGTTGAAAACTATTCTCCTGGTGGATTTGGAGATAATTTGCATTGTCTGTCAGAATGCTGCACAAACTAAGGAGCAGCCAGCAAGCTATTAGCTCAGCACTAAAACAGATTACTCAAATGTAATTATTTAAGAGAAAGGAATCAAAGCTGAGTGCACATTTCTTGTATGTTTTCTTGAATTTCTATACACTGATTTGTCTGATTTCTCACAGACAGCTGACCTCAATGTTTTTGTATCATTGGTGTAATTCTGCTTTAGGAGTTTGGAAAATATATTTTCCTATCGTCAGTCTAAGATCTTTTCTATTTAGAAATATCTTTTCTATATGTCGGGTTACTTATGAGGACTGGATTGATAGATTGTAATGGTTAAATATATCATTTACTGAATTTACAGTAAAATCATTTTTAACATAGCTAACCTACACTTATACTCTTGCATCAGAAATAAAAAAAACTTTTTAAATGTTTTGACAATTTTATAGTGAGACACAATTTAAAAAGGTTAATATTTAAATTAAAGGGGCATTATGGAAGTTTGACAGCCAAAACATGTATAGAAATAATAAATTTCTTCTTCATACATTCTCCTGCAATGCCTTGGTCCTGTAGAATGAGCCCTGGCATTTCTACTGTGATTGCCTGTTTTTCTGTAAAATCACAGAAAAAGAGAGATGCTCGGGTCGAGTAGGCTGCTTCATGCGTGTTCTCGCTCAGGCATAGCCCGTAGCATTTGCTATCAGTAGCTTTAGCAGCAGAGAGTGAGGAAGTGCCAACTCTGCGACTTTGTCGCTGTTCCTAACGCCTAGTGACGAACCTAGCTACATTTCTGAGGACCCTTAGCTACTTTCTGTAGAACTTTCTTCTAGATATTTCCTGCAAATTAGCAACAAAATAGCCATTTTCACTCCAAACCGTTCTTTGGTTTGACGCTGTTTCAGGCGTCATCAAGGATATAAAGTTACCGATGCTATGAATATTACTGGTGTGTAGCTCACCTTGTAAGATGCCTGACTCTCATGCAGAAGACCTGGGTTCAATTCTGGATGTGAACATAGTTTATTTAGAGTTTATTTTTTACATTAATGGTATATTTTTTTTACAGTAAGATGCCCAAATTTTTATTTGAGACTCGCCGAACGGCATTGAATTCACAGATAAAAAAGATGTGGGTTCAACTTTCATTTTGGAACAATTTTTCAAGCAAGGGAAGGGAATGATCTGAGCATGCAGGAGGACTGACCCATTTTAAACCTTTGTCGACTGTGCTGAAGAGAAGGTAAAGAACCAAATTATTTAAGTAATTGGCTGCGTGTCCCCCCCCCCCCCCCCCACACACACAAGGGACTGTCTCAGCTGTTATTGTCGTTAAGGAGTGTGCACGTACAACATGCGTGCCTCGTGCACGAGCCTACTATTGAAGCTGTCATTACGCTTTTGGCCTGAGGGGGCAATCGCAAACATAGAAATTCAAAAGTCCGTAAAGTCCCTTTAAAAATGTTGCTAATGCCAACACGACAAGAAAAACGTGCAGTTCCCCCTTGTCCACTAGGGGCTGGCGCCAGAAATGTCCATCAATCAATCAATCAATCAATCAATCAATCAATCAATCAATCAATCAATCAATCAATCAATCAATCAATCCTTCATTAATCCCAGAGGGAAATTAGAGTTTCAGTGCACACAATTCAGAGATCAGACATACATGGGCAAGACACATGACAAGTATTGGTGACTGTGGTCATTCGCAACCCGAGTCGCGCTACCTTAATAAAGAGGGTAACATGAGGATTGGTTCAGGTGGAGGGAAAAAAAGGCACTTCACAGTTACCCTCCCACCAGGGTGGCAGCTTTGCTCTGCAAAAACACCTCAACAAATATGCAACAGACTTCAGACAACACAACATAACATGAGACTCCAATAGGAAGGCAGGGGGTGCTGGGATCCTGTTTCCCCCAGCAAGAGCAGCCATCTACGGCGCTCATCTGCTGTACAGTCACGGGTGGGTGGGAGATCTTGGGAGAAGCGAAGAGCACATTGACTCCTGCAGATTAATGACCTCGCCAGGCTGAAGTCCACCAATCCGAAGGCGGGGTGGGGGGTGGGGGGGTAGGTCGGGTTTTCACAGCATCTGTCTGCATTCCTTCGTGGGGGTTTGTTGCTTGCCGCTCAAGGCTGCCAGGGCATCAGATTCAGTTAAGAATTTGTTTGGGTCAGGCTGAGATAATTTTCCTCTCTGCCTTCAGTCTTTAAACTGATCATTCCAGTCCTTCAGTGAAGCCAATTTTGGGTTTTTAAACCTGTCCATACCGTCTGGTGACTCCCTCCAAGATGACATCCATTTTGCGCACTAATACCGGTATCGCAGCTAGAACATTGTCCAGCTTACGATTCACCTCGAATAACGCCCCAGTCTGAGAAATCTCCACACGGACGGTGCTTTCCGTGGGTGCGGGTCGCCCTCCAATCATTCCCGTCTTCCCAAATTTCCAGAAAACCAGATATCCTCCCACTCCAATCTGGAGAAATCCAGTGATCATCAGGCCGAATATCCACACGTCTTCGATATCCTCAATGGACAGCTGGCTGAGGCATATGATCTTCCACTCCTTCCAGGAATCCAGCATATATCCCACCGGGTGTGTCCCCTGTGGACATGTGGGAGCCCCCTGCTCTGTTCTCATTGTTGAAAAAATCTTATCAATCGCATTGAATGACCAGTTCATAAAATCCATGGTTAGTAAAAATTGGGGTTTTCAGAAGAAATGCAGAGAAGCGCTCTGTGGGCAGACAGGACAAAGAGCCTTGGGGGAAAACAAGATAACGGAGCGAAAGAGAGAAGCGTCGGTACTCCGTGAGTGCCTTGAAGAAAAAAAAGTTACAAACGCCAACTTCACAGCACAAATGAACATGTTTACAGCCTGGTTAAAAAACACTTAAGGTCAAGTTTACAGTCATGACAACTCTGGGGTTGGTAAATGTTTTGAACTTATCAGTTTAGATGTAATTAAATCTTGAAATTAAAAGTACTTAGGGGCGTGTCCTTTTGATTGACAGGTGTCTGATGAGCTGTCAGCGCTAGCTGCGTGCCTCTTGCTTGCTCCAGGGAAGGCCTCAACCTCTGCCTCTCATTAAAAGTGTTACAGCCTAGAAGGAAGGGGGTAGCAGAGTCGCTCAACTGTGGTTTTCTGGCTGAAAGCGCCCGCCAACCTTTGTTAGCCTTGATTAGCTCAGTAGTTCGTAGCTAGAGTCTGATGGGTGTCGATCATCTGCCCCACCCTCACACCCCTGCTCTCAGCTCCATTTTTTTATTTCCTGGGAGTGACGAGACACTGACTCGGCCAAGATTGCGGTGGTGGGAGCCTTCCATTGGGTTTCAATTTAGCTCTTCTGTTAGCTCACTTCATTCCTCTTCTGCTCCTCTTCTCTTGGCTCCCCCCACTTGCCTCATCACCATGGGGAGTAGAGCGTTCAGCCGCTCTGCTCCCCACCTCTGGAATTCTCTTCTGCCTGACCTTTGCACATCTCCCTCCCTCCAACTTTTTAAATCAAAACTCAAAACCCACCTCTTCAGACAAGCTTTTACCACATAGTTTTAATTTCATTGTTTTAAATTTTTACATCTTAGTGTTTTTATATATTTGTAATGTGTAATCTTGTTTCATTTATTTTGTACCATGGCTGTAAAGTGTCCTTGGGTGTCAAGAAAGGTGCTTTTAAATAAAAAGTACAATAATAATAATAATAATAATAATAATAATAATAATAATTATTATTATTATTATTATTCAGAAATTCAGAAACCTACCTGTGCAGCGAAGAGGGGTCGTCTGTTATATAATCAATCAATGGTTGGACTCTGCTATCGAACATTTTTTATTCCAAAATCCATCTAATGCTCTCCTGGAAAATAAGTTTTTGCTTTAGCTTCATTTGAAATGTTCTTTAATGAATCTAGCAAAGAGATTTTGATGATTTCATCATTTTTACCTTCTGGATTATATTTTTTCTTTGTTTTTTTTATATTATTATCATGAACAGATGACTTCATCTATGGTTTGCAGCATTGGAGTTTCTTCCTCTGTGCTAAATCAGTGGATCATTCCTCTCTTGGGGTGCTGATCATCCCTCAATTAGTTTCCAGAGCAGAGATTATGTGTGATTTTCCACACAGCTGTGCTCCTGGGACTTTGTTTTGAAAATGTTTTTTCTTCCCTGCTACTTTCTTAATGGTTATGCTTTTCCTTCTCATAATTTTTGTAGTTATATCAGCCTGATTTAATGTGATTTCTAAACTTTTATTTGCTCAGGTATTGTTTGATGAGCGTGAAAGGCTGCTACACAGATTTCCACATCGACTTTGGAGGAACTTCAGTTTGGTACCATGTGTTCAAAGGACAGAAAGTAAGTTATTTCTGTTTTGTTTCAAATCTTCATTTAGCAGAAATGGATCAAAAAGTAGAATTGAAATTATTTGTGTGTTCATCAGGTGTTCTGGCTGGTTCCTCCGACCCCACTTAACCTCGCCCTGTATGAAGACTGGGTCCTTTCAGGCAAACAGAGTGACGTCTTCCTGGGAGACCGAGCTGATGGGTGCCAGAGAGTGGAGCTCAAACAAGGATACACCTTCTTCATCCCATCTGGTTCGTTGGTCTTAAAGCAGCTGGGTTACCTACCACCTGGAATAAGAGATAAAACAAATCCTTTTGGGTTCTTCTGTTGGCATTTTTAACCATAATTTGCATTTTAAGGTTGGATTCATGCCGTCTACACTCCTGCAGACACACTGGTGTTTGGAGGCAACATTCTCCACAGCTTCAACATTCCTATGCAGTTTACAATCCACGAGATAGAGAACAGGACTAAGGTAGGTGCGACCTCTGAACTTCAGTGCAGTGCTGTAAACTTTTCATGAAGTAGATTCTTTAAAGAGCAAGTCACCCTCTACCAGAGTCTAACTTCACTCCCGTTTCCTGTTTGAAAAATGCGCTACAAGGAGAGCCTAGCAGAGGATAGAGCCGTTAACAAATACACACACACACGCACGCACGCACGCGTGCACGCGCGCACGCACACACACACACACACACACACACACACACACACACACACACACACACACACACACACACACACACACATACACACACGCACACACACAGGCTCACAGCAGTCATTGTGACATCAGCTAACGCCGTAGGGTACCTCTTAGCCAATAGCGATGGCAGATTTGAATTAAAATGCAGTGCAGAATTTTTACCTGAAGAGGCCCCACACTGACAGTTTTAGGGAACATATTAAAATTTTAACTATGATGCACTGAAGTGCCAAATTATTGACTACACATGTCTACAGCATGATTAGACACTCATTTATATAGTTTATCAGCAAAAAAAGGTTATTTGTGGGTGACTTGCTCTTTAAGGACCACAGAAAGCTTCTCTCTTTTCAGTTTGAACCAGAGCGAAACATTATCGAGGACATTACTGACCCTGTTTCACAAAACGAGTATCAAAATGAAGAGCAAGAAGGGTGGGATGAAGCGAGTGCAGGACAAAACCAGCGGTGCTTGTGTGGCAAATGTGGAGAATTTTAGCATCTAGAGCTGTCGTGTGCTTCATGGATGATTAGGATATTCAGTGAAACCACTTTGATAATTTTTGCAGATATTATATATTTGGAGAACACTGTGTTGCTACACTTGCTGCTTGTTTTACTGACGGGAGAGGTGAATGTTCAGCTTCATCCGTGACGAATGGCGTGTCCGGTGATTCGCTGAACGTGACAGAAGCGGCAGTTGCAGGAGCGGGTTGTCGGCTCAGAAGAGCGTCCAGCATCTCTTGTCTCTCCGAGGGCGTTTAAGCTCCTTGTGTGGGAAAATGGTCGGTAAAGCATTTAGTTTCAGCCCTCTCTTATACCCAGCCGCTCTGGTGAGCTCTTTTAAGTAGTTGTGGTCGACAATAAGCCTCAAACGCATCAGGAGAAAAATGTTGGGAACACAGCCGCGGATCTTTGGGAAGTTGTGTCTGTCCACAGGCATCTTCCCACTACTTTCTCCTCTTCTTGTCAGTGGGAAAGCTGTGTAAACTCACATCACTCCCCTTGTTGCCCTCTGACTGGAAATTACATCCAAAAGCAGCACAATGCGGCATTTTACTTAATTATTAATACAGTGAGCGCATAAACAAACACTAGCGTCAATAGCTATTCTTCCAAGTACAACCAATATATGCCGTTGCCTCCAGAGTGCATTGCGTACGGAAAACATGGCGTCCTACGTATGTCAAAAAATGCACTTTGTGGTACAACAGAAAAATTGTGGCACATTAGGGCAAACACGTCCTCATAGCCAGAGTTCCTTTAAAGGTTGAGAGGAAAAGTCAGCTGAACATATCTACTCCCAGCTCCTGTGACCACTACCGAATGTCTGCTTGTTTTCAGGTTCATTCCAAATTTCGGTTTCCGTTTTACTACGAGATGTGCTGGTACGTCCTGGAGCGATACTTGCACTGCCTGACGAAACGCTCCTACTTCAATCAGGAGATCCAGAAAGAGCCTTTAGGTGAGTTTAGTGGGAAACCTTCAAACCTTCTGCTCTAAAAACAAGAAGAGTTAACGGGAATCTTGTGATGAGCAGCTTAACTTCTGTACGATTTCTGACGCGTTACGCTGACCCAGTTCCGATCAGCTAAAAGAGCGACACCACCTTTCCGCTCTTTTAAAGTGTGTCTATAAATTTTTACAAACAAAATAAATGGTTAGTTTCGACATGTTTTTGTGCTGTTTTTAAATAAGAAAATGGCTGAAGCTGTCTAGTCCATGCATTTTGCTCAACATCCTAACTTTTTTGGGGAGAAACTGAGTTATAATGCAGTTTTCTGTTGACTTACTAATTCAAACCACTTACAGTATTTTGCAGCTGGGACTAACTCTTGTTTTTTAATGATTTTAAATTCAAACTTTTCTGCTCAGTAGTGTTTTCTGCAGCAAATTTTAGTCATTTCTGCCTCCAGGAGTGTGCATTTTTTATTTTTCTGAATGTTTTATTCCTCCGTTAGGAAATATGTCTCCAAACGTTGTAAATTGGACACGTTGCCATTTCAGATTATGAAGCAAGGGTGAAGACGGAGTGTCCCTCTCCTGACTCCAGAAGCCAGGACACAAACGAGGATTCATGGGGAGCTCAGATTAGGAATGAGCAGGGAGAAAAGGCTGCGCGAGTGTCCGAGGATGACTCGCCTGAAAACGTAAAGGGCCCGCTCCTCAAAGCTGTTTTGTGTGTGGACTCTGAGGACAGCTGTAATCCCAACTCAGTGTCTTTAGATTTCCCCAAAACCCCCCTGGACTCTCCAGCCTCTGAACTTCAGGGAAAATGGACTCACTTGACTCAGTATGAGCTGATGGGACTCAGGACGCTGGTGGAGAAGCTGGAGTCACTCCCTGAAAATAAGAAATGTGTTCCAGTGGGAATAGAGAACCCTCAAGGACTCCTGGAGGACATAAAGGTATAAAACCCCTCAGCTACAGCTGACGACGAGATACTGGAGACATAAACCTGTCCTGCCTTACATTGAGTGGTTTTCTGTGTTGCTCAAGGCTGTCCTGAAGGACCATGCTGAAGACGACCCACAGTTAGCGATCACTGGAGTTCCTGTGGTGTTCTGGTCCAAGAAAACCATCGAGGTAAAAACATTTCAGTGCTTTTCTCTTAAGATGTTTAATTTTTGTCAGCTCATAAAGCAGAAAGTTAACTTCATTTACATCCTTAAATAAATCATAAATTAAACATGTACATTAGGACAATATAAAGATGCAGATAAACTTAAATTCCAGTTGAATTGGGGGTTAATTTTACAGCAGATGTTTGGTTTTATCTGTTCTTAATTGTTTATGTTAAAATTAATCAAATATATCAATTTCTGCATTTGACACAATCAGTAGATTTGGAGCTCAACAACGTTCTACTACTGAGAATATAAATCATGCTATTTTGTTAACAATTATGTTTTATAGATTTTGTGGTGTGAAATGTCAAATTTTTGTACATTTTCTGTCAATGTAATGTTGACTGTAGCTTCTTTGCATGTCTATTTTTAAAGGTTATAATTACCTTTTTATTAGTAATACTACTATTACAACAACTACTACAGTAGTAATAGTAATAATAGTAATATTAATAATAATAACAATAATAATAATATTAATTTACTCAATGATTTGCCCTACATTTATCCCAGATTAATCTTATTTTTAAATGAAAATGTTGATGTGATGTGAAACCGTATTAGAGCAGAAGCATCTGTAAATTTCCTTCCATCTTAAAGTAACACAGAGCAGTTTCCTGCTCCTCCACCCTAGTGGTTGAAAGTGGAATTACAATCGTCGTAAACAAGCCTGCTGTAGCTAGGCTAGCAATAACAACGAGCTAACGCTAACATGAGCCAACCATTCATTCATCCATTTTCAACTGCTTATCTGGAGTCGAGTCGCAAGGGCAGCAGCCTAAAGCCTAATCTATACTTCTCCATCTGCTCCATAAGGGAGAGACACGCACACATGGACAGAGACAATCTCCGTCTCCTGGGGAGTGTTGCAAAGCAATTCCCCGCCAGGACAACAGAGGGCGTAGCTCTGTTCTGTGGTATCCTGTCATGCATCCGGTCCAAGATAGTGTTTACTATTGTGTTTCAGAGACTTTTTAACACGGACAAAATTGTCCCTCATTCTCCTCCACTTCTTCCTGAACTCGTCACCTCTAAACCCACCTTTCCTGTCATTTGCGAATAAAACACTTGCTGCGTATCTTTTCACTCCTCCAGACTTCCCTCTCTCCAGCTACTTGGGCCAGCTCCTCCGGGGACCGGGGGAATCCCAAAGTGTTCCCTGGCCAGCCGAGAGACATAATGCATGTACACATTAGCGTCGGCATGGTCGGGGTTTGGTGGGGCTGGATGGCGTGAGTTCAGTGTCGAACTGGCGGTGTAGTGTTCACATATAAATCTGAGAGACTTCTCAGGAATGCGGAAATCCCGAGCCTGTGGGCGGCGTTTAAGCACGGGAAATCCGCAGTGTCCTCCATTACACACGCACGCACACACACACACACACACGCACGCACGCACGCGAGTGCGCACACACACACACACAGAGCTTTTCTGTTCTCCCGTTCCCATCAGCACCTCCGGAACGGCAGCTCCGTGCTACAGACAGAAGTTTACTCAACAACATCTAGCATGAAAATGAATCACGCATGCAGGAACCCCCGGGCTCATTCTTCTCGCAGATCAAATGTGGTAGGCGTAATTTCAGCTGTAGTGTCACCTTGGTCCGAGTTTGAATGCTAGGAAGAAGGTCTGAGAAAAAGAATCGCCTCGGCACCGAATACGCAAATCTGACCAGTGTGTGAAACCAATTCCGGTGCCGTTCGGTACCTTTTGGGGTGGTGCAGATGCTAATGTGTAAGCGCCAATAGTCCCTCCAGCCTGTCCTGGGTTTTCTCCTCCCAGTTGGACGTGCCTGGAAAACCTCACCAGGGAGGCGTCCCGGAGGCATCCTGACCAGATGCCCGAGCCATCTTAACTGGCTTCTCTCAATGTGGAGGAGCAGCGGGTCCACTCCAAACCCCTCCTGGATGACCGAGTTTCTCACCCTATCTCTAAGGGAGAGCCCAGACACCCTGTGGAGAAAACTCATTTCAGCTGCTTGTATCTGTGATCTCATTCTTTTGGTCACTACCCAAAGCTCGTGACCATAGGTGAGGGTAGGAACGTAGATCGACCGGTAAATTGAGAGCTTTGTCTTCCGGCTCAGCTCTCTCTTCACCACGACAGACTGGTACACCCCATTTTAAATATAATAATAATATCCAGATAGTGGACCAGGATCTCCTCAAAGCCATACGGAAGTCTTGCTCCATGGTCTTACAGAAGTCCTCCCACGCCCGGGTTTTTGCCTCCGCAACCACCCTACCCACCCTGGCAGGCCTAAACCTATTGTGAGGGTCTGCTGGGAATGTCTGGCGGAGTCTCCTGTCAGAAGGAGCTTCAATTCCCACCTCAGACAGAATTTTGAACTCACAAGCCATCTAATGCCATAATAAACCATGGAGTAAAAAGATCCACACTTTGGGCCAAAAATATTATTACTTACAAGTCTAGTAGCAACAAAGTCAGGTCAGCATCAGTCCATGATTTTGTAGCCTCCATTAGCTCCCTCAAACTAGTGTAGGCCACGTTCACTCTGGTTTTAGCGTTTTGCTCCGCCTCCAAAGACATTTACTCTCTTACATTTACTTCTAAAAAGCAAACTTCTTTTTCTCTTGCTAGCATTACATATACCATAAATTAGGTAAAGAGCGCCCCTAAAGGACACCTATCCGCTCCACAAAACTATCGAGTGTGGTTTTTGGTCAGTAGAGTGTTGTTAAATATGAAACTAATTCAACAATTGCTGGCATCAATGTTAAAGCTCTGGCTTAAAGTAAAAAAATCTGTTGTTTCTTTAAATAAATTAGAAAATTGCCTTCATTTTGTGAACATTTGACTATAATTTTACTTTTGAATGTTAAGCTTAGATTTCCACATGCTGTTTTCTTCCAAGGAGCCAGCCTTTTTAGATTAAGATGCTTGTTAAATCATTTTATCAGTTTGGGGTTTTCATATTTCCCCTTATTTTTTCATCTCCATAATGCATAAAAGGATCAGCCTCTTCCAAGTTTTCACTAATGCCAGTTTCAAATATTTAAAGTTTTAATTCTCTTAAAAATCAGTTTTGTATCAATCAGAAGAAACACGTTTGTACGAGATCAGGAATCATTAACAGAGCGAGGAATAGGAATATTGATTGACTGAGTGATGAATGAATGAATGAATGAATAACGTTTATGCTGGCCAACACCCCCACCCTTCCCTTGAAAGGCCAGCTGCTGGTCTGGGGGCCTCTTTGTGTTTGTCTCCTGTCATGAGATGCCATCAGGCTCTCCATTCTGTAAGGAGTCTCCCTCCCCTCCCCTCCCCTCCCCTCCCCTCCCCTCCCCTCTCCTCTCCTCTCCTCTCCTCTCCTCTCCTCTCCTCTCCTCTCCTCTCCTCTCCTCTCCTCTCCTCTCCTCTCCTCTCCTCCCCTCCCCTCCCCTCCCCTCCCCTCCCCTCCCCTCCCCATGATGCTCTTAAATGAGTATGAGAACACCTTTGATGCTGCCTCTCTCCTTATTGGACGGGTGCAAACATCCCCTCAGTAGATATTCTGATGCACACCCTCCTCTCATTGGCTATGTGCTTCACTTGCCCCGCCCCTTCCACCCAAAGAGCCGATCCATATTAATAAGGCTGCATGTGCCTTCTACATCTGCTTGTCGTATTGTGAAGCTTTGGAGCAAAAGGGAGGGCTGTAGGCCTGGCAGGAGTAGCAGGAGCAGCAGCAGGAGGAGGAGGAGACTGCAGCCATGTCAGTTTGCTGTAAGCTGGATGGCATCTGAAACAAGCTATGGTCATGTCGCTTAGCGCTGACGATGAGGACTACGATTCAGACTCTGAGCAGGTTAGCACGCTGACGCCCAGCAGGCAGAGGAATGTTTAGTGTGACGGTAGCGTGGAGCATCACAGGGCAGCGAGGAAATGGAGCTACCTGGAGACAAAAGCATTGATTCAGTTCCAGGTTGTTGGCTGTTTGTGTGTGAGAAAGAGAGGATAGTGTTTTAATTAGAAATGGGACTTGTTTTTATTACGACATTCTGGTGGTTGCTTCATGATGCAGATTTGTTTCATAGTCTGGTTTGAAAAATTTGGGATGTTTTAAATAACTTGCAATAGAAGAAATGCTTTATTGACATTTTATTTTCATGCATAAATCTCATCTAAGGCTGGACCTTCACAGTTGGAAATCAGTATTTAATTTGATCACATTCCTGCAAACATGTTGCTTATCTTCGAACCCCCTTTTCCCCATTACACTCAGAGTTTGGCCACATTTAATGAGACAGAACTGACTGCTAATGAGAGTTTGTAAGTTTTCCTCCAGCTGTGTTCTCACACCTGTTCTTTATCTCTGGAATGTTTGGATCAGGATGCTAAGAGCCACACAGCAGATCAGGATGACTTAGACTAACCCGTCACTGTAGTTTTACCTGCTGGAAAGTGTTGCAGCACATCAGAGGTTTTATTCTCATTTGTGATGAACTCTTGTTTCTTTTTTACTAACTTTTCACGACTCAGATGTTTAAGGGTCACAGATGTGAGCCGTTCTGGTTAGAGAAGTGTAATAAAAACACTACTAAGGATTTTCTGAGGAATCGTCACACATGCAACAGTTTTGTACATCTTGCTAAATTTGATAATAAATTTAGTGTTTTATTCCCGCATAGATTCTAAAGGTTAATCCTGTTTTGTTCCTGCAGCCTTTTCTTTATTTCTGCAGCGTTTAACATGATGAGGAGTGTGTCCTCATGAATCTATGTACTGAGACTGTTTCAGACTAAATGGGCTCTGAAAGCTAATTTTTATTAGTGCTTCAACTGGATAAATGTACCTTTAGGTATAGTGAGGTTGGTTTTATTTTTTGTTTTGTTATTATTTGGCCAGGAGGTTAGAGGAGATCAATCCTTCTTTTTTGTTTTTTATTCAGCCTTTTGCATTTGTAGTAAACAGCAGTAAACACAACACTTTGTTTATTTGCATGTTATTGTTGTTACTCTGACCTGCTGCCTGCCTGATGATAACTCAGGGTCGTCTGGGTCCTCCTCTCGTTAATCCCCATGTAGCCCCCCTCCGATACAGTCCTGCTCAACTCCCCTCCCCAGTATCTCAACTCTTAATCCTGTCTGCTAGCAACATCTGTCAGCATCTGTCAGTTTATTGTTAGAGCATTTTCCTTGCAATATGCCTAAAATTCCACACTCTTTCCCTTTTTCCTCCCCCCTGTCAGAGACCCCGTTACAGTCCTCATTGGTTACAAGTTTGTGTGTGTCATACCGTGTTCTGTTAGGGAATGGGATGAGGCTGTTGCTATGCTGACACCAGGAATATCTGCACTGCCGATGTAACTAAAGAAATCCAATCCTGATTTCCAAGGAGCTGCAGTGTTGTTCACCTCCTGCTCAGCCCTGTTTCATCTCCCACTCTGCCAATCCTCGTCTGACGTGTAACGGTTGGCAGTAGTTTACCCTCTGCAGGGAAGAGAAATTGAACTTGAGGCCGTGAGGGAGCAGAATGCAGAAACAATAGGGAGGCTGATCAAAGACACATAATCTGTTTGTTTTAAATGGAGTACGTTAGAACACGGGCACTGCATCGTCTCAGTGTGAGAGCTCTGTAACAGAACAATGGCTGTGTGGTAGGCATGTGTGAAATAAAGCCCTTAGTGTAGCTTCACTTTGAAGAGAAATGCAAGCCAGCGAGAGGCTAAATTTGGACAGAGCCTTCAGGGATTTTTGTTTTCATGTGTGTGTTTGCTCCTGTACTCCGTTCTGCAGGCAGGAATAATGTGTTCACACCCAGCGTGTTGTCATCAGGGTTGCTTCCTGTGGGCAAATTTAAGTCGCATGTCCGTGCACAGTGCTGAGAAAAAGTTAGGGATGTACGATATATTGGCATCAGTGTCAGTATTGGCCGATGTTAGTCTTTTTTTTAACAAATCGGTATCGGTCCGGTATTCAGTAAAACTGGGCTGATATTAACAACCGATATTTATTTATTTATAAATGTGTGTGGTGTGTGTGTGTGTGTGTGTGTGTGTGTGTGTGTGTGTGTGTATATTAGAGGTGGGAAAGATGATCGATTCTAAGATGCATCGCGATTCAGCCATGCATGATTCCACATCGATGCAGCAACGTGACATAATGAGATTTTCTCCCTATGTCTATGTCTATGTTCTGGACGCGCAAGGACAATAAAGTTTTGAGGTTTTGCAACTACTTCTGGGGGCAGAGTTGCAATGACATGCGCACTGCGTTGCCCTAGCGCCAATTTAAAACAGAAATGGTGGACAGGGATACAGGGCGAACATTACCAGTAATCAAAGATGTACCCGTTACATTTAAATCGGATGTCTGGGCTAATTTCGGTTTTGGGATCCTGGATGTGAAAGAATCACAACACAGTATTTGTTTACTATTTTTAAGTTCAGTATTATTCTATCTTAAGCTGCTGTACTGAAAACATTATTTCTTATATTATTTAATTATAGGCAGCACACTTTAAAAATTATTGCTCACTATAGTGAATAGATGAATGTTCTGTTTTTGAGGGATATCGAAATAAAAAAGAAATTTAAAACTATTCAACTGCTTTTATTAAGTAATGAAAAATTTTGTGTGAAGAATCGTGATGCGTTTCAGACTCAAATCGAATCTTTAGGCAGATAATCGGAATCGGATCGAATCGTGAGGCAGGTAGAGATGCACACCACTAGTATATATATATAGGTAGGTAGTTTACATCTTACAGATGAACCATAAAATGTGAGATTCCATAGAAATATGAAATATCAATCTGATGGATCTTTGAATATTTTAACCAGAAGATCAGAACTTTTTATTGCAGGGATTACTTGACACTTCGTATTAACTCCAAGGAAAGAGAGAGAGAGAGTCAGGTTTATAATAGTTAAGACATTTATTTCTACACAATTTAAACAAGACTAACTTTAACACTCTGTGTACTGATGGACTAAGGTGGAGTGAGACGTGAGATGATGGTGTGTGTGTGGAATGTTATTATCAGAACCAACAGATCCGGAGAAGCATTCAGTTCTGAGTGGGAGTGAGTGTTTCGCTCTAAATTATGGTTGGAGATTGATAACACACATGAGACTCCATCTGTCGGTCTACGTACCCAGGGGAAGCCTCCGTTTAGATCCAGAATGTCGAGGTCCTCTTGGACCCTCCTTGGAACCGAAGCCGGTAGAAAAGCAGCGGTGCCGACCAAACTAGTCTTGGAATACTTCCAGGTCACGACAGGTTATCATTGGTGTCAGCAAGACCCTGAAGGGGTCATGAGGTTCAGCTTTTATTCTGAAGGAACCGTTGCGGTCAAGTGTAACTTGCAACAGAATTTGTCCAGCTTGTCGAGGTTCTTTTGGCTGAAGAGGAAGTCCGGATGGCCTGTCCAAGACTTCTCTAGAACGCTTTGAACTAAAGAAAAGGTGGCGTGGAGTAGTTTTTATAATTGTCATATTTTGGTTTACTGGCGAATCAGAATTTGACATGCAAAAGAGGGTTTATACGGTGGCCCTGAAGTGCAAACCACAAAAACAAATCACTTAAAGCAACAACAAATTGAAAAGCGCAAAAACAAATTCACTAAACACAAAAACAAATCACTAAACGCACAACAAATTGAAAAGCACAACAACAAATTGAAAAGCCTAACAACAAATCACTAAATGCACAACAAATTGAAAAGCACAACAACAAATTGAAAAGCCTAACAACAAATCACTAAATGCACAACAAATTGAAAAGCGCAACAACAAATTCACTAAACGCAAAACCAAATTGAAAACCACAAAAACAAAACAAAACAAAAAAAAAAAACGGAAAAGGTAGGTACCAATGCTGCAACAACAGGCATCACTGATTGGATGATGGATCCGTTGGCCTTTTGAACCGGAAGTTGTTCTGCCGAATGTAGTTATGTGAAAGAGCAGTCAGCGGGTGTGTCCGAATCCACAGGCAGGATGCTTATGAGTATGGGTCCTCGCCGGTCTAGCAAGGCCGGGTCCTTGCCAGACCGCTAAAACCAGAAGTCAGCACCTCTGAATTCGGACAGTCTAGCCTTCACCTCTACGGTGGCCCATAGGTCCCGTCACAGCCGCGGCGGCAGCTAAGGAAAAATGCTAAAGCTAGCGAAAATCGAGCAGGAATATTAAGGAACTACAGCAGCTTCATGTCCATCAGCAGCGTTTGTTCACAACTGTTTTCAGGTTAAGTAACTTTGTTTATTCTAGAAGCTTTCAGGACTTACATGTTAACTTTAGATGGTTTAATGTATGTTTTAAGCTACAGAATGAACCTGTTAAACGTAATTTGTTGTTGCATTAAGTGATTTGTTTTTGTGGTTTGCACTTCAGGGCCACCGTAGGTTTATACAAACACCACAGAAAACCACGCCTCGCGTCAGAAACGAAGGTTCTGATTGGATCAGACAAAAGGAAATGTGTCGTGTGACTTTAGCATTACGTGTCATTAGTGTCTAGTGCAAATGTCCAGGATTATAATTACTTGTAAAATACTACTGATCACAGGATTATAATATCAAGTAATAACATTTTCATTTCACAGATTGATTAAACATTGGGCTCACATTGTTATTGGCAATAACAAAAGTTGTTTGATTATGTATTCATCAAGAGAGTTCTTCATCTTCGTCTTGAGCTGTATCAGAGGTGAAGCCGTTCAGATGCAGAGGGCATGAAAGACCTTGGACAATATCTCATGTAGATTAGCCAGTCAGAGACTTTATGTCTCTTCTCGAGTAGACGCACCAGATCATGACTTTTAGGTCAACAACAGGACATTTCATGACGCTACATCTATCTATCTATCTATCTATCTATCTATCTATCTATCCATCCATCCATCCATCCATCCATCCATCCATCCATCCATCCATCCATCCATCCATCCATCCATCCATCCATCCATCCATCCATCCATCCATCCATCCATCCATCCATCCATCCATCCATCCATCCATCCATCCATCCATCCATCCATCCATCCATCCATCCATCCATCTGCCTATATATATATATATATATATATATATATATATGAGAGAGAGAGAGAGAGAGAGAGAGAGAGAGAGAGAGAGAGAGAGAGAGAGAGAGAGAGAGAGAGAGAGAGGAGAGAGAGAGAGAGAGAGAGAGTTTTGTCTCACCAGTCCCAAGAATACCTTGCAGATCATCAGAATGCGTTTTGACAAACGTGAGATGACTTTTGTTCTTTCCTTTTATTTTCTGTTGTTCAGTAGAGGAGCAGATGACCCTTGATTTATTTTCTCAGTGCTGAATAATGACCTCTTGTTTAAATCTTAACCAACTGAGCTCTATAGTACTTCAGTGTTTAAGTAAAGGGTTGACATTTACCTGTGAAAACCAAGCGCATGTTTTCACATAAATTTGTAAAATAAAACTTCATTAAGCTTCTGTAAGGTGTCGACTATCTCTGGTGGCTGGCGTAATATCAACAAAATATTTTTTAGCTTATCGTCTTGACACCAAATCCTCTTCACCCTTTTAGCCTCGGCCACCCAACCGGCCGAAACCCAAGATGGCAGCATTGCCAGCATCAGCGGTCAAGTTGTCGGCCAGCCGGGGAACATCTGGCGCCAGAAGGAGGAGGACCCGCTGTCGGAAGTGCGAGGCATGTCTGCGGACAGAGTGTGGAGAGTGCCACTTCTGTAAAGACATGAAGAAGTTCGGTGGGCCGGGGAGGATGAAACAGTCCTGCATCATGAGGCAGTGCATCGCAGTAAGTTTCTCATGGTTGTTGTTTGCTTGATGTTAAACTCTAAATAGTGTTTTGGTTTGTGTGCAGATCAAACATCAGTGAGTTTTAACTACATCCATCATCCACACAAAGGGGAAAGGCAGGTGATAATGTTTGTACAGGAGTATTTTTTTTGAACCACTATTTATTTATTTACTTATGTTTTAGGAGGATTAACCACTTGAGATGAACCATCTAGTCTATCGTGAATCAATGGGGCAAGAGTAAAAACACACGCGCACACACACACACACGCGCACACACACACACACACACACACACACACACACACACACACACACACACACACACACACACACACACACACACACACACAAATATATATATAATAAAATTAATAAAATAAGTAAATCATTATACAAACAATGCAACATTTCAATGAAACTTTCACAAATTCTTGATATAACAAATATCTACGACTGGTTATCAAGATGGCCATCACATCTAATCAACTAGCAAACACAAAAATGGCAATAACTCAGTAATATTTACAGATATAGGGGTGTTTACCAGTAAGAATCTGGCAAAATGATATGATGGGGAGACAATACAATATGATGTAAAAGCCAGATGATCTTTACAATTTTTAAGACAAAAAATAACATAAGTACTAAATATTGCAATATTTCAGTTAGGGATGTTCCGATCCGATCACATGATCAGAAATTGGCCCCGATCACGTGGTTTCAGACTGATCGGGACTTGGGCTATACTTCCCGATCCAAGCCCCGATCCGGACTCGGATACTGGGTTCAAATTACAGGAGAGCAACTTGGTTCTCCTTAAAGGTTGTCAGGCTCACCTGATGCCCTTAACTTACACACCCAGAAGGAGCACAAAAGAGATCCAGTTTCTACCTACATTATATAATTTATCTGGACTCAGCGTAGCAGGGATTATTTTGAGCAGAACTCCAGCTTCGTTCTGCACACGCCCACAGTAACATTTTCTAAGTTTCTAAGTGACGTCACCAAAAATATATAATTAACACACAGTTATTCGTGTCCGTTCATTTTCTCCCTGGTAAGTTCAGTCTGTATTTGAGCATGACGTGTGGACACGCTCGCGCTGCCCCCGCTGCAGCGCTCGTCACTGGCGCAGCCGGGCAGCGCAGCGCACACTCCACTTTTTTTGCCGTCAATAGATCAATTTGGTCTACTAGTTAAAAAGTTACTTGTGAGGTGAAAAAGAAGGGAGCAGACAGGAGTTTTTCTGGAGGACTGGGAGATGCAGGAAGATCAGAGGCAGACGGGACAGGAAGATAGGAAAATAAAAACCAAGAAAACAAAACAAAGTTCTTAAAAAAATAAAATGTAGGTAGATTTATCTCACCACACGTTTGTACCTGTATAAAGCAATAATTTATCAGCATGTAGTATTTATATAGTTGATACAGTTCAGATCATCTTCAAAACTCCCATGCCCAGGGACGTATCTAAGCATTTTGGGGGCCAAGGCAAAATAGACCCCTGCCAGGTATTTTAAGTAGAAGTGCTATCTGTTTTTATATTAGACTTTTTATATTTGCAATAAAGTCCAAAAGTGAAGAATTTATGTTATTTATTGCTTGATTGTTCAAGCTACCTCACAGAAGTGATCTGTTGTTAAAAATTAAAATAAAAAGGTAATTAAATAAAAAATAAGGAACTTTCTGGAACTGTTTCTTCCTTTTCTTAATTTTTTATTTTTTATGCATCGAAAGTATCCCATCGGGTCTCGGTATCGGCAGATTCTCAAAATCAAATGACTCGGACTCGAGGGCAAAAAAACCTGATCTGGACATTCCTAATTTCAGTGTATTTATAGGTTTTTTTCATATCCCTAGTGTGATAGAAGCTGAGCATGGTGATTTTCATTTTATATTTGGCATATCAGCAAAATGTGTTACCAGTTTTAACGAAATACACTGCCTGGCCAAAAAAGGTCGCCACCTGGATTTAACTAAGCAAACAGGTTGGAGCGTCCTATTGGATATTTACTGCATGAGCGATCATCTTTCAGCTGGAAACAAGTTATTTAACCCATCTGGTGCAACAGTGTTAGTCTGTTTTAGAGGGGTCAGATCATTGGCATCAAGCAGAGAAAACATCTAAGGAGATTGCAGAAACAACTTAAACTGGGTTAAGATCCGTCCACGCATTATTAAAAACTGGTTTTATGAGTCCAGATGGATCCTGTTCCAGAGTGATGGTGCATGAGAGTAAGAAGAGAGGCAGATGAAGTGATGCACCCATCATGCCTAGTGCCTACTGTACAAGCCTGTGGGGGCAGTGTTATGATCTGGGTTTGCTGCAGTTGGTCAGGTCTAGGTTCAGCAACAGGATGTGCTACAAGAATGAGGTCAGCTGACTACCCGAATATTCTGAATGACCAGGTTATTCCATCTTCCCTGATGGCACGGGCACAGTACTGGAGAAAGCTTTGTACAGCGGTCAGGCTCTACCAGCATCAATGCAAGATCTTGGTGAAACATTAATGCAACACTGGATGGAGATAAATCTGGTGACATTGCAGAAACTTATTGAAACAATGCTTCAGTGAATGTATGCGGTAATCAAAACTAAAGGTGTTCCAACAAAATACTAGAGTGTGTGACCTTTATTGTTGGTGGCATTTTTTTTTTTTGGCCAGGCAGTGTACAGGGAGTGCAGAATTATTGGGCAAATGAGTATTATGTCCACATCATCCTCTTCATGCATGTTGTCTTACTCCAAGCTGTATAGACTCAAAAGCCTACTACCAATTAGCATATTAGGTGATGTGCATCTCTGTAATGAGAAGGGGTGTGGTCTAATGACATCAACACCCTATATCAGGTGTGCATAATTATTAGGCAACTTCCTTTCCTTTGACAAAATGGGTCAAAAGAAGGACTTGACAGGCTCAGAAAGGTCAAAAATAGTGAGATATCTTGCAGAGGGATGCAGCAGTCTTAAAATTGCAAAGCTTCTGAAGCGTGATCATCGAACAATCAAGCTTTTCATTCAAAATAGTCAACAGGGTCGCAAGAAGCGTGTGTAAAAACCAAGGCGCAACATAACTGCCCATGAACTGAGAAAAGTCAAGCGTGCAGCTGCCAAGATGTGACTTGCCACCAGTTTAGCCATATTTCAGAGCTGCAACATCACTGGAGTGCCCAAAAGCACAAGGTGTGCAATACTCAGAGACATGGCCAAGGTAAGAAAGGCTGAAAGACGACCACCACTGAACAAGACACACAGGCTGAAACGTCAAGACTGGGCCAAGAAATATCTCAAGACTGATTTTTCTAAGGTTTTATGGACTGATGAAATGAGAGTGAGTCTTGATGGGCCAGATGAATGGGCCCATGGCTGGATTGGTAAAGGGCAGAGAGCTCCAGTCCGACTCAGACGCCAGCAAGGTGGAGGTGAAGTACTGGTTTGGGCTGGTATCATCAAAGATGAGCTTGTGGGGCCTTTTCGGGTTGAGGATGGAGTCAAGCTCAACTCCCAGTCCTACTGCCAGTTTCTGGAAGACACCTTCTTCAAGCAGTGGTACAGGAAGAAGTCTGCATCCTTCAAGAAAAACATGATTTTCATGCAGGACAATGCTCCATCACACGCCCACAACCCAGTACTCCACAGCGTGGCTGGCAAGAAAGGGTATAAAAGAAGAAAAACTAATGACATGGCCTCCTTGTTCACCTGATCTGAACCCCATTGAGAACCTGTGGTCCATCATCAAATGTGAGATTTACAAGGCGGGAAAACAGTACACCTCTCTGAACAGTGTCTGGGAGGCTGTGGTTGCTGCTGCACGCAATGTTGATGGTGAACAGATCAAAACACTGACAGAATCCATGGATGGCAGGCTTTTGAGTGTACTTGCAAGAAAGGTGGTTATATTGGTCGCTGATTTGTTTTTGTATTGTTTTTGAATGTCAGAAATGTATATTTGTGAATGTGGAGATGTTATATTGGTTTCACTGGTAAAAATAAATAATTGAAATGGGTATATAAAGTGGGGCAAAAAAGTATTTAGTCAGCCACCGATTGTGCAAGTTCTCCCACTTAAAATGATGACAGAGGTCAGTGATTTTCATCATAGGTACACTTCAACTGTGAGAGACAGAATGTGAAAAAAAAATCCATGAATTCACATGGCAGGATTTTTAAAGAATTTATTTGTAAATCAGGGTGGAAAATAAGTATTTGGTCAATAAAAAAATTCAACCCAACACTTTGTAACATAACCTTTGTTGGCAATACCAGAGGTCAAACGATTACTATAGGTCTTTACCAGGTTTGCACACACAGTAGCTGGTATTTTGGCCCATTCCTCCATGCAGATCTTCTCGAGAGCAGTGATGTTTTGGGGCTGTCGCCGAGCAACACGGACTTTCAACTCCCTCCACAGATTTTCTACGGGGTTGAGGTCTGGAGACTGGCTAGGCCACTCCAGGACTTTCAAATGCTTCTTACGGAGCCACTCCTTTGTTGCCCGGGCGGGGTGTTTGGGATCATTGTCGTGTTGGAAGACCCAGCCACGTTTCATCTTCAAAGCTCTCACTGATGGAAGGAGGTTTTTGCTCAGAATCTCACGATACATGGCCCCATTCATTCTGTCCTTAACACGGATCAGTCATCCTGTCCCCTTAGCAGAAAAATAGCCCCAAAGCATGATTTTCCCACCCCCATGCTTCACAGTAGGTATGGTGTTCTTGGCATGCAACTCAGTATTCTTCTTCCTCCAAACACGACGAGTTGAGTTTATACCAAAAAGTTCTACTTTGGTTTCATCTGACCACATGACATTCTCCCAATCCTCTGCTATATCATCCATGTGCTCTCTTGCAAACTTCAGACGAGCCTGGACATGCACTGGCTTCAGCAGCGGAACACGTCTGGCACTGCAGGATTTGATTCCCTGCCGTTGTAGTGTGTTACTGATGGTGACCTTTGTTACTGTGGTCCCAGCTCTCTGCGGGTCATTCACCAGGTCCCCCCGTGTGGTTCTGGGATTCTTGCTCACCGTTCTCATGATCATTTTGACCCCACGGGATGAGATCTTGCGTGGAGCCCCAGATCGAGGGAGATTATCAGTGGTCTTGTATGTCTTCCATTTTCTGATAATTGCTCACACAGTTGATTTTTTTCACACCAAGCTGCTTGCTTATTGTAGATTCACTCTTCCCAGTCTGGTGCAGGTCTACAATTATTTTTCTGGTGTCCTTTGAAAGCTCTTTGGTCTTGGCCATAGTGGAGTTTGGAGTCTGACTGTTTGAGGCTGTGGACAGGTGTCTTTTATACAGATAATGTGTTCAAACAGGTACCATTAATACAGGTAACAAGTGGAGGACAGAAAAGCTTCTTAAAGAAGATGTTACAGGTCTGTGAGAGCCAGAGATTTTCCTTGTTTGAAGTCACCAAATACTTATTTTCCACCCTGATTTACAAATAAATTCTTTAAAAATCCTGCCATGTGAATTTATGGATTTTTTTTCACATTCTGTCTCTCACAGTTGAAGTGCACCTATGATGTAAATTACTGACCTCTGTCATCATTTTAAGTGGGAGAACTTGCACAATCGGTGGCTGACTAAATACTTTTTTGCCCCACTGTATTTGTTTTTTGTTAAGTTGCCTAATAATTATGCACAGTAATAGTCACCTGCACACACAGATATCCCCCTAAAATTGCTAAAACTAAAAACAAACTAAAAACTACTTCCAAAAGCATTCAGCTTTGATATTAATGAGTTGTTTGGGTTCATTGAGAACATGGTTGTTGTTCAATAATAGAATTATTCCTCAAAAATACAACTTGCCTAATAATTCTGCACTTTGTGGTGTTTTCCAGTACATATGGTACCACGTGGTACAGACTGGCTTCTTTAGTTTTCTTTGACCACGCCTGTTAATTTTCATCACTTGTTTTTAAATTAAATGTGATGTAAAAGACCAAGAAGAGCTTTGCAGGAGCAGAATGTGAATTATGTGTAAGTGAGACTGACTTCTGCTGTAGCAGCTGTAAAGGTGTCATCCAGGTGTTGAACTTGTTTTGTATGTCTCAGCTGAAGGTCTGTGGTAACTGTTGCCATGAGGCTGTGCTAGTGGGTTCCAGCACCATGGACAGAGAAATGCTGAGGCTTGTTTCCTTACAGCAGAGCTGATGGCCACTTCCCTGAATGTCTCAGTAACAAAACCTTATGGGATGCCAAACCAAGGGATGATATAATTGTTCTTTTTTTACAACACCTAGAAGTTTGAAGATATAAGAAAACAAAAATATGCTAATATGAGAAAAGTCAAAGTGTTTTGTGACTAGTTTGAAGGCTTTTGGATTACGAGTTAAATGGATGATATCCCTATAAAAAGAAGTGGTTTAAAGTGGGATTATAATGTGACCCAGAACCAGATTTTAATTCATCTTTAGCGAAAAAAAGAAGTGAGGTTAGACAATTACGACTACAGCAGCTCATCTTTTGACTGGTATTAAAATTGTGGACATTGAAGTCCAGATTTGGCAACTCTTCATTGGCTTCTTGTCTTATTTTGGATCATTTTAAAATTTTACTGCCAGCTTTTAAAGTTTTAAATAGTTTAAATGGTCTTTTCAAATCCAAAGACCAATACGAGCACTTCTATCAGGTCCTCTTGGGTCAACTGAGATTCATTTTTACATATATGGTGTTTTTAATCATATTTTATTGTTAGTCCCCTTTGTTTGGTTTAGCCTGGCCCAATTTTGTACATTTTGTTTTGTTCTCCTCAGCCTGTTTTGCCCCACACCGCTGTGTGTCTCGTCTGTGGGGAGGCTGGAAAGGAGGACACGGTGGAGGATGAGGAGGAGAAGTTTAACCTGATGCTCATGGAGTGCTCCATCTGTAATGAGATTGTTCATCCTAACTGTCTCAAGGTAAGCTGCTCTCGATAATGAGCAGCGTTTTCAGAATTGCTGAGCTGTTGCTTTTTGAGGCTGACAAACTGCATCCGATTACGCTCATTTTGTGTAGGTTAAAGATTCAAATGGATTAGTCAATGATGAGCTGCCAAACTGTTGGGAGTGCCCAAAATGTAACCACGCTGGGAAAACTGGGAAAGTAAGCATTATGATGGGCAGTTTTCTGTTTCAGACATGGTGATGAGTTTCTCAAACTGCTGATCTTCCCCAAGTATCCGAGAACCTGAGAAATAAAGTTGTCCTCTCCTTCTTTTCTAACCTTTTGGCCACAAAGCAAAAAAGGGGGCCAGGATTTAAGTACGCCTCCAACCTCCCCGGCTCCCTCCTTAAAGAACCGCGGCTGAACCGGGACTCGAAAGAGGAGCTGGACATGCCCACGGTGGCTCCCACAACCGTCACGGCTCTGACGACCACATCCGCTGTGAAAAGAAAGACAGAGCGGGAAGTCGTCCCTAAGAGGAACGATGAGGAACCTCCTAAGAAACGCCCACCTCTGCTGACCCTGGAGGGTCTACCACGAGCAAGACTCGAGGACAATCCGCTGCGGAAGAAGAGGAAACTGTTTGAGACCAACGATGAACCCATCCTGGTGAAAAAGAAGGTTAGACTCTTGTGTGTTTATGTGATATTGATGCTTTACATCATACATCCCATTAAGATGCAGAAAGATGGCCTATTATGTTCGTCTCACCCTTTCTTAGAAAAAACCTCCTAAACCAGACGATCCGTTCAGTTTGAAACTGTTGCGGCACATCAAGACAGAGAACGATCACGGCGATGAAGAGGAGGAGCAGGGGGATCGGGAAGACAATGGTTTATCTTTGGGCAGGATGCATTTAAAGGGGGAACACGATTATGATGATGAAGTGCAGAAAGAGGACACAGAGGAAGAAGAGACTGTGACAAAAGGGAGAGACAAAGCTAGAGTTCTCTTGAGTCCTCTGCTAAGGGTGTCTTCAGCCAGAGAAAGCGATCATTCATCCTCCAACCCTCCCAGAGCAGGACCAAGCAGCGAGTCAGGAGACGTCCAGGAGAGGAGCTCTGCGCAGCTTAAAGCTCGACATCAGCGCCGGCGCCTTCCCAACAAAGGAGGGGGCAAAGAATTCAGCCAGGACATGAAGTTAGAGGACTCGATGAGCAATCAGAGGCATCCTCCAGAGAGTGCAGAGAACAACTCCGCCGCTCATCATCGCAGGCCATCGAAAAGCGAAGACTCTGTGGGCAATCAGAACTGTATACCACTAAAAGCAGAAGACTCAGCTAATAATCAGAGCTGTAGGGTCCTGAAACTGGAGGAAGGTGCGATAAACCACGTCAGACAGCCACTGAAAACCGAAGACTGCCTGACCAGCCAGAATCACAGTCCGGTCAAAGCCGAGCCTGAGAGCGAAGTGGACGACCAGAAGCCGAGGTGGCTTCTGAACAACGGCGGCAGTGATCTGGGTGACTGGCTGAGACACAGAGGGCGGGAGGTGAATGGGACGCCGCAGGCATACTCTCCACTCGGCTGGAACAGAAACACACCCATCAAACCGATGTGCTCCCGCCCTCTCCCTCGCAGATCACCACCAAAATACATCCAAATGGAGCGCCATGTGATCCGGCCTCCTCCCATTAGCCCCCCGCCCGACAGACTACCGCTGAGCGACGGTGAAGCACACGTGGTGTGGCGAGAGACATGGATGAAAGTGTTCAGCCACCTCACCCACAAAGACCTGTGTGTGTGCATGCGCGTGTGCAGGACATGGAACCGATGGTGAGTACAAGACAAACCGTGAAGACTTCCAAACCTGATGGGGCAGCGTTTTCATGAAACCATCTTTGTCTCCCGCCAGGTGCTGTGACAAAAGGCTTTGGACGCACATCAGTTTGAAACGGTGCAAGTCCATCACTCCTCTAATGCTGAGCGGCATCATCCGGAGGCAACCGGTTGCTCTGGACCTCAGCTGGACCAACATTTCTAAGAAACAACTCAGCTGGCTCATCAACAGACTTCCTGGTGAATACAGTGTCACACACAATGAGATGCTGCCCCAAAGCTGTGGAACTCTACCTATTATAGTTCGACAGGCTCCATTATTGGCGGTTTTTAAATCTCGTTTACAGACCCACTTCTAAGACTTGGCTTTTAGACAGTGACTCGTTTTATCGTGTTCTTAGTATTCCTCATGTTTTATTAGCTTTTATCGATCAGTATTTTTATCCTCTGTTCTTTTGTTGCTTTGATTAGTTGTGATTTGGTCCAGCCTGTGCAGCACTTTGGGCAGCTCCCATGCTGCATTTTAAATGTGCTATATAAATAAACTATGGTATGGTATGAATACAACAGCGCTTTCTTCGGTTTGTTTTTGCTTTTTTGTTACGCTTAATAAGACAATGTGTAGTTTTTACCGTTAATCTCTGGAAATATCCATCGAAATGTTGTTGAAAATGAATTAAATGATGTCTAGCTGTTGATAAATATTGGCAGCTTTGTAACATTAAACCATAAAAATCAGTTCTGAAATACATGGGAGTGGATCCAAGTCTCTGTGCTCTAGTATTGGATGCCATGTTTCCTTCTACAGGAGCCCGTGAGGACAAAATGCACTTACTGATTTGTAACAAGCGTTTACAAAACTTTCACCATTCATAAATGTTGTTTTATACATTTACCTCTTCACTCATTGACCCCCCCCCCCCCCCACACACACACACACACAAAGCCAGAGGCTGAGCAGAATGTTCAACATCACTACCATGTCGACCATTGTTATGCTGTGTTGTGTTTTTGCGTTACATAGAGTTCACTTCCCCCTACCCCCCACCCACACGGTGGGCTGTGTCAGTTGAAGCTGATTTGCAGAAGTGTGTCTCTCACCATCTGGAGAAAAACTAACATCTCAGAAGAGGAACATCATAGCAACAGTCAAACATGGTGGTGGTAGTGTGATGATCTGGTGCTGCGTTGCTGCTTCAGCACATGGGACCATTATTTCTGCTCTGCACCAGAAAATCCTGAAGTACAATATCTGACCTTTGACCTTATTCAGCTAAACTGAGAAAAAAATCACCTCTCCATCAGATTAGATAAAATATTTTACAAGGAAAATGGAAATGTTTTCCCTCTCTTACATCATGATAAAATATTCTATTTCCCTGAAGCTTCTTGTGTGTCTCCAGTGTTTAGTGACCGACGAGCTCTTAGTGGTTCTTGTGTTCCTGCAGGTCTGCGTGTGTTGCTTCTGTCCGGGTGCTCTTGGGTGGCTGTCTCCGCGCTTTGCACCTCCAGCTGTCCTCTCCTACGAACGCTGGACGTTCAGTGGGTCGAAGGACTAAAAGACGCTCAGATGAGGGACTTGCTGTCGCCGCCTACAGATAACAGACCAGGTGCCAGTGTGTCATGTGTTTATAGAAACTCACCATCTGCAGACGTGTTTCAGTGTTAAACTTGAATTTAGCCACACCGTGCTGATTCTCAGCTGCTTAGCCGATCCGTTCAAATCCACAGAACCAAACTTAAAACTTCCTTTTCTGTCATTCACTTCTGGAGTGAAAATGAATCAGAACAGCAGAGTTTTAAAGAAAAGGAGGTGACATGAAAGTGTTGATCTCAGTTGTAATCCAGGAACTTGTCTTGTCAGTCAGCACAGTGATGCGACTCAGATGTGGTTTAGTCCACAGGTGCAGAAAACTCTTCACTCTCTCACTGTGGACACTTCATTTGTTCATTCGTCTCATCAAACAAACCATGTCTGTTCATCTCTGCCCCTCTTCCACTCTTGTGTTTGTTTTTGTAGGTCAGATCGACAACAGAAGCAAGCTGCGTAACGTGGAGGACCTGCGTCTGGCGGGGTTGGACGTCACGGACACGTCTCTGCGCCTCATCATTCATTACATGCCTCTGTTGTCTAAGCTGGACCTGAGTTACTGTAACCACGTCACCGACCAGTCCGTCAACATCCTGACCGCAGCGGGGACGACCACCAGAGACTCACTGACTGATATCAACCTGTCAGGTATGAGCGTCTCTGTGCTGGATGTAAACTAATGGAGCCACACTCAGTCAACCACAGACTTCAGCATGGATCAGAAGCGTAAAATATTTCATGCTGATGAAGCAAATCAGATTCACGCCTGTTCCAGGGTATCCGCGGGTCCTTAAAAGGTCTTAAAAAGTCTTAAATTTGCTTTTCCAAATTTAAGGCCTTAAAAATCCTTAAAAAGGACAAATAATCCTTAAATAGAGTTTCCAAAGGTCTTAAATTACTAAAAACCCAATTAACAAGATTCTTTTATGTCTATAAAAATTTTGTGAATTTCTAGTTAGTGTTCAGCATTTTTTTGTGTATGATATTGGCATAAGCGGAACCGTATACATTCAGTGAAAGGGGGCTGTTTTTAGATGAGCACATTAGCTGGTTAAGCTAGTGGGAGTTTGCTCCATGGGGAAGTGCAAGTTTAATGGTAACTGGATGGCTAATCCCACGTTCGCGACGTTCCAGGCAATAGCTGGAAATCATAGCTTAAATTTAATTTTAAGAAACAGCTTAAATTTGGTCAAAGTGGCCTTAAAAAGGTCTTAAAATGTCTTAAATTGGCTCCCTTCAACCTGCAGATACCATGTGTTCTCTTTCATATGTTTTTGTTACTAATTACACTTTTACAAGCAGTACTGTGCAAAAGCCACTCCTTGGGTTGTATTTTTTTTAATATAAAAATTAACATTGCTAACATTATGCTGCTCTAACACACGCTCTTAGCTTAGGATTTTATTTGAACACTTCCTTTTATGTTAAAGTCCCATTTCTGTAAACACTTTGAACACACTTTGCAGCTGAAATGGTGGTGAAATACTTGCTAGTTAAACGGAACAAAGTTGAAGCAGGTTTAGATGAGTTCATGGATGTAATGCTGCATGTCTCCTATGGCTGCTACACAACACACTCCTCTCATTCTTTTAAAGGCAGGACACTAAAACAAATATTTTCTTGTTTTAAATGTTTAAAACTTAGAAAATGACCAAAAGGAAAATTCTTCCGCTCCAAAATGTGTTATGATTTACTGCTTAATCCCACAGGCCTGAGTAATCCATGCATGTGTGTTCGTGTCAGTACACCTCTCTGCACCATTTGTTAATTTTTCTTCTCTAACGCCCCCCCATCCCCTCCACCATTGGCAGTCTGTAACAGGGTCACAGACCAGTCGCTGACCTATTTCAAACGCTGCGGGAGCATCTGTCACATCGACCTGCGTTACTGCAAACAGGTGACCAAGGAGGGATGCGAGCAGTTCATCGCAGAGATGTCGGTCAGCGTTCAGTTCGAGCTCTTAGAAGACAAACTGCTGCAAAGAATCGCTTAGGAGCAAGAGATTAAAACCCACCGTCCACATGGAGGCAGCAGACACCAGGAGAGGCTCAGCTGCTAATCCAGAATGTAAAACAAAAAGGAGCTCTTGTCAGCTAACGGCAACATTAACTGAAACATTTTGTTCTTGCACCTGTTTATATGTTATTTATTCTTAAATTGATCCTTTATGTATTGTATAGCAGCCATCTCTTGGTGTTTGTATACGATCTGTTGTTCTAATGCAAAGCCGTTTTGCATTATAAATGAATATTTTTGTATCAGAAAGTGTTTCATATGATTATGTGCAGTATAAAATGCACCAATGGACAGTATCACAGCGCCAAAATCAATATTCAGTCACATATGTGTTCTTTACAGTAAAGATTTGGATTTTTGCCACAAGCTGTTAACTTGTGTTTGTGTGACTGTTTTATACGTGCCTGAGGTTTGTTCCTTTATGGTTGAAAGTTATTTTGCACTCGCGCGATGAAAACCTGAATGTACTTCCATCCACACACACCCCAGTGTACAGTGTATAAAGCTAATCTCTACACCACTAAACAGTTCTGCCCCCTGACTAACTGCCTGTATTTATTAAGACATACCCGCTCAGTAACTTCCCTCTTTAGTGCTTTGTTGAAGGAAGCCTTTCTATTTCTGCATGCAGCTCAGAAATGTTTACACGAAAAGTTTATTCCAGCCCTTGGTGAAGCAGCACTGAGCCAAGCAAGAAATAATCAGCCAAAAAATAAGCTATACTCATATAAAAGTTGTGTATAATGTGATGAATGAGCAGTTTCCTCTTGTTTAGGTCAAAATTGTGATTTTGTTTTTTTATTCAGGAGTGTTGCGTTTAGTTTCTGAGTTTGAAACTTTAAAAGATCTGAATATTATGGTACTTCCTTTTACAGATGCCAAACATGTCTGTAAAATTAGAAAAATAGATATTAAAAAAGTATTTAGCTTTATTTTATTTTTTTTACTCCTCACGTTAAAAGACAAAAAATGTCATCTTTATTTATAATTTGTTTTAAAGATTTGCAATTTAAAGCTGAAAAACATGTTGGTTATTCTCTGAAAAGCTTAAGGTAAACATTTATGACCCAAAGTATTAGAAATCTGATGTTTTCTTTTTGGAGCATGTTCAGATATATTTGTCTAACTCCTTCACAGGTTCTCCTTGTTTTTAATCTTTAAAACACATTTTTCTGTTACTGTTTTTGAATGTCAGTCCATGTTTTACAGTTCAGTGGGAAAGTTTACTTTGAATAAATATTTTTTTTTATTGAAAGACTCGTCTTCATAAAGAGTTTTGGTATATGATGTCAGATTTATCTATCTGTACAAACTAAAACTTCTAGAAAAAGAGTCAACTTTGGGATATTAAAACCATTCTAAACCTTGAACCGTGTGTTTAGTTCTTTTAGGCATTTTGTGTCAACAAGATGAAACATCACCAGTTTCTGGTTCATAATACTGCATTTTATTGAGTCTCAAATCATTTTCTTCTGTTAACCAAAATAAAAAGGTTCAACATTCAGAATATAAATATCTGTGATTAGGAGCGATCACAATTTCCCTCAGTCTGACGATGCTGTAGCTGCCAGTGAACGACATCTTTGACAAACAGCAGCTTCTACAAAGTGACGAACAGTGTGTGTGTGTGTGTGTGTGTGTGTGTGTCAAAATCTGAATCAGACCATGAGAAACATCAGACTTATTTAACAGCAGGAATACATTCTGGAAAACTCTTTTATTATAGTTTTTATTAATAAACCTCCATATTTAGTGGAATATTAAATCGTGTTTCCCGAGTAAATGGAAAAATATATTCTATGACTTATCGGTAAACAACAACAGAAGCTACGTCGGAAATTCGCCCAACAAAACATAACAGGAAGTAAAACATTTCTTAACACAACCATGATGAAGCCAGGTGATGTGAGGAAGATGTTCCATTTGCATAACAAGTTAAAGTAAATCTCTAGAAGACGTCAAAGAAGAGGAAGTAGCACCTATTTCCTGTTTTATATCTGATGTGAAAGAAGAGCAAACAATGTTAGTTATTTAGGACTTTTTAAAAAAACTCTTTACATATGAATCAAAAGATTTTTGCAAACTTTCTTTAGAAAAAGAAATCACAAGCAAAGCACAGTGATTCAACATGTTTGTTAAAAAGACATAAAACTGTCTCAGTGACAAATGAACATGAGATGAATTCTCCTTCACACAGTAACAGGAATGTGAATCAGTAGAGTAGAATAAAAGAGGGAATAAATCTGTTGCTCAGTGAGTGTTAAAACATTCTCCTTTTTTATTTCCTATTTGATGAAAAAAAAACTATCACTCCAAGCTTGCTGGCTATGAGATGCATACTGTGAGGTTTGAACCAAATATCCGCTGAAGGCATGTTGTTTGGCACCCTACACGCTCCAGTGTGTGTGTGTGTGTGTGTGTGTGTGTGTGTGTGTGTGTGTGATAAGTCAGCTCATGTCGTGTTCAGACTGACAGATATATATTTTTTCTAAAAACAACATTACTTTATCTCTGATATTGCACATCCTAAGGAACACTGAGGGAGATAACACAGTGTCATGTGGCATGACTGTGTAAACCATATTGACTCAAACCCTGGGAGCTCATAGACAGCACTGTGCAAAAGTTTGAGACCATCTCTAATTTCTTTGTTCCTAATCATCTCTGAAAATAGATTTTAAACGAAAGTTCCCCGGCACTCCAAAGGTTTTGACGTCAGAGTGACATCCTGTGGTCAAATTTGGGTACTGCAATCCATGTATCAAAACAAACAACGTAAAGGTGACGAGTGAAGATGAGTCACGCACAGTAAGTTGATAAGCAGATACCATCCATCCATCCATCCATCCATCCATCCATCCAATCATCCATCCATCCATCCATCCATCCATCCATCCATTTTCTGAACCCGCTCGTCCATGTAGGGTTGCGGGAGCAGATAATACATTTCTCTGTAATATTGAGTTATTGCTAATTTAAAAATGAAATGTTTTTAGAGCTGACTATTTCTTTCTTATTGTGTGTTCTACACTAGCTAAAAATAAATTGTGATGTAACGTTGCAATGCATTGTGGGATGTAACCCTAGACAAGCAAACGTGTATTTTGCCTGTGGGTCTGAGTCGTTCCGCTCATCTCAAAGTTGTAGTTTCATCTTCTGAATATGTTCAAACAGGAAGGTACTAAGCACTGCTGTTGGGGGAGGTGCTAATCGGACTCTAGATACCCAGATCGGATGTCAGAGGGGACGTTTTTAATCTTTTTCCCAAAGCCGGGTAAGGTCAGCGACCACATGAAACAGCTAAGGAAATGGGCCAAGCTAAAGACAGACAAAGCAAATCAAGTGGGAAACGTCCAACGTCCAAGATTAACCAGCTGAACGTCTCGGCCAAACAGTTTCAAAATGTGGACAAAAAAGGCTTTAGATCAGAGGTGGGTGGTATGTGAAAAGTAGTGACACAAATAACGTTCCTCTTGGGCCATTTTAAAAGGAGAACATCTGAAACCTCCTCAAACGGCTGAGAAAGAAACATGTTTCAATGCAAGTTTCCTTCCAGCATGATTTAGCAGGGGCGCCTCCAAAAGATTTTGATAGGGGTGGCCATTTTTGGGGTGGCACACCAAATTGGTCCTTGTGGTAACTCTGGGAGAGTTTAGTCTGTGGCGATGTATTGCATTGCTCCTTTATTCATTTTTATAAAAAAAAAATAACTGTGTGTATCCAAAACATTTAACTTAAAATTTACAAACACAAACATTTCAGAAAAATACATTTCAGTTATTTAAAATGTTATTTCAAATTTTATTTTAAAATGTTATTTTTTGGTTCAATTCACCTGTTGCTGTGTTCACAAAAAACTGTAGACAAAAACATTTTTAAATGGTGAGCAACAGAAACGTATTTTTTTTATTCTGATAATTTCTTTACTCATTAATTGTATTATTTTTATTTTATTTTACAATTATGTCTTGAATAAATAAGATCAATTTATGGTTTGAGTGAACATTAATATGATTTATTAACACCGGCTTTTGCTGGGGGGAGGGGGGGGGGTAGTATTTCTCTAGGGGTCCATGGTCATCCCTGGCAACCCCTTGGGGGTGCCATTGTGATTTAGACAGGCTGTTTTGTAAAATTCTTATTGCACCTTTAATGACACTTTCGGATGTTCATCTAAAGTTAACATACACTCACGTGATGTCAACCTGATTCAAGATGGCCACCACAGCTAGCTGGCGTCAGAAAGTACAAACATGGCTCAAACTCTATTTTAAATGAGCAGATATTGAGCTAAGATTTGGTGTCGTACTTGCTAATTGTCTCACCCACGACATACTCTGAGCACTACACACTGTGTAACATCATTATCTAAAACTTTGGCATTAACAGTTAAAGTCCACCCTGTTTATCTGTTAGCACAATATCTAATTAACTAGACTGTACTAAAATTAATGGGGGTGGGGGGTGGGGGGGTGGGGGGGTCACTGAAAACACAACTACAACTGGCTAACTTTTGGAATCAATCCCAGTCAAGATGGCCGCCACAGCTAAACATCATCAGCAAACATAAAAATGGATACAACTCGATCAGTTTCACAACTACTGAACTGCATTTTTATGTTTCAGTAGCAGAAAGTAAGCTTTTAACAACTTTTCTTTAGTTTATCATAATTTGTTGTCTGATTTATTTTCTGTCCATAAAAGAAAGGAGACATGGTTTAAATTTTTTGCACAGTACTGTGTGTCACCACAAACAACAAGCAGACCCTCTTCAAGTATCCCCAGGACCGCCTCCTTTCACCTCCTGTGAGAAGAATCTAAACAGTGCAGAGTAGTGATGACGAGGGTCTTCTGCTGCGTGTCAAACAGACCACAGGAGAGGCAGACAACAACAACAGAAGCTACGGTGCAGCTGCCGGTCCACTTCAGAGGGTGGCAGGGACCGGAGTCTGAGTTAGTGAGGTGGGACGAGGATGGAGGGAGCAGATTGTTGTAAGATCAGAGGTAACCGTGTAGTCCAAAGAGCGGGATGTTGCTCCCACCTGCTGCAGCATCGGGCCCTGTGAGACGTCATGCACAGCGTTTCATCCTCAGGGACAATCTCAGGTCCACGTGCACGCGCCTGAGGGCTGCTCCGAGTCTTAAGACTTGAAGACATGCACGGCCCGCACCACATACTGCCTGCAGATGGGACACTCGCTCATCCTCTTCCCACATTTGGTGCAGGTGACCATGTGGCCACATTCAAGCAGCACACAGTCGATGATGGCGTCCATGCAGATGCGACAGAGGTTTTCATCCGCCGCCAGCTGAGCTCTGACACCGTCTATGGATGGAGATGGAAGACGTGTGAGGAGCTAGCAGGGGTTTGGTTCATAGATCTTACTTCTCTACTTTAATCTCGACAATTTGCACAAAGAATTATGTAAGTTCAGTCTTCAATAGAGCTTTTATCTAAACTCGACTTGTTTTTAAATAAATAATTGTGCCGATTTTTGTTACTTATGACTTTATTCTGCCATCATTTACATTTTATGATGGTGGGGTTTTGGAGTTCTGTCAAAATAATCAGTTTAGATTTTCTGCATTTGTGTTTATCTTGACCCTGCAAACAGTCACCGTTACATGGACGTGCAGTTCATGTCTATATTGAGTCCTTTGGTCCAGACCACGTCTGTAGGACGTCCAAACTAGGTTTTTGCACTGTGGGGAGTTTGTATTCCTTTCTTTGCATTGGTTTCACAAATTTTTTACAGCTATTTTTAACCCTTAACCCATACCATTTGAAATATTACTGACCTTTTCGATGCTTACTTTTTAAGGGATTGCTGTCCCTCAGTAAAAATTTACCTTGCGTTTAATTTTAAACATGATTTTGGAGCATTTTCAACATGTTCATTTGATATGAAAAAGTGTGAAATTCACATGTTTTTTTTTACCATACTGGTCACTATAAACATGAATAAAATCAGTATTTTTACATTTAAAGGTGTGAAACTCTGAACAAAAATAAACCAAACATTTTTATTGATTATTTCCGATTATAATCAGTCACTCTGTTTTTCATGCAGGCTGAACATGGAAATAGTCTCCTACACCTATCTCCTCCATTAGCTTCTGATAGAAAATAGACGATGAAACAGGATTTGAAAATCCTGACAGATCTATGTCACACTGTCATTTAACATTCATGGACTCGCCCATCTTGACTCACGACGGGGAATGCTGTTGTTGTTTTAACGTCCAGGAAACAGCAGAGAATGTCTCGGCTAGTAGAAGCTAACCATTAGCATTAGCAACTCCACCACACAGCAGAAGCTCCTCCAGGCTTGTGTTGTTTGTGGAGATGTAAACATCAACGTTGCAAGTCTTTGGTAGAGTTTGCTGTTATCCAATCTGAGGCAAGATGTCCAAATATCAGGAAATAAAAATCCATATTCTGCCGTCTGAAGCTCAGCTGTGATGTGGGTCGCTTCTAGTTCCTAGAAATGGTGCACCGGTGTCCTCCCCCGCCCTTGGAGTACGATTTAGGGCATTCATTCCTACCAGAGACCACTGCAAATGTGTTGATTAAATGAGTGTTCCACACCTTTAAAGCTGCATTCTCATATCTCTAAAACCTTTCACAGCAGATCTTAGCTTGTACCAAAGTGCACTTTTTAATTTTTTGATGTTTCTCAAATTCAACATGCTGATTCTCAAATTGATTTAATTCGGATTTCCTCTACTGCCAGAGTGTTTCACAAAGAGTGTCTGATCCTTTACTTTAATCACAATTTGAAGAAAGAGCCACGTGATTCAGATCAGTTTCAAATCATGTCGGAGCGCTGACTTAGGCCAGTCAAAGGCTGTCCGACACGGCCTAAATCCGGCTCCCGCTGCTCACGTCGTCCTGACAGAAAAAAGTCAGTCAGCCTGCAGCATCTCAGTTGCAGCTGAATGCTAAGTGGTCTAATGAGGTCCTGGAGCCCTTTTTGTCGGCGAGGATGCTCGAGAATGTAATTACACCTGATGGAGACGTCCCGGCACAGAGGAAAAATGATGGCTCATCATGATGTAAAAGCTTTAATTGAACGCATTAATGACAGGATGAGAGGCCGTCCCTCTGAATTAAATGAGATGATGAAAACTTTAAAACACAAGAGACTGAACCAGGCAGGAAACAAGGATTGTGATATGATCCGGGTGGCTGCAGCATGCCTTTACTGGTTACTGCTGGAAAATGAGTGCAATACACACAAATGGAGGGCAAAATATATTTGTTTTCCATATTATCATAACAGCATCTTACCTCCAACTCCACTGCTGCAAAGAGGTGGAGGATATGCAACCACTTTACAGATAAAAATGAGCAGCAATAAGGAAAATTAATTAGTTTAGAAATCAACCTCTTCATCCAAAACAACAGAAAACCGAGCTAACGTTATTATCTCACAGACACAGATGCAGAAATTCATGGTAATTACCTGCAGTTATGCTCACGTTTTCCACTGAAACAAAAGGAGAGAAAAGGGGATTCTAGTCATGCGTGACTCCAGAGATCACAGCGTGATTATCTTCTCACAAATAAAAACTCACTGGATTTCCTGTTCTGCTCGTTTTCCCTGTAGAGTCGGTGCACTCGCTCCAGCAGCTCCCACTTCTCGCAGCAGCCGGAGTAATTGACGAAGTTCCTGGCAAGAATCTCTTTCAGCTGGCGGACCGAGAGGTTCTCTATCGCCTCCTCATTGTCAAGATCAGACAGCGAGGCCCTGATCCTCCTCTGCGTGGCCGGGCTGACCTGCATGGCCCACACAGGAGAATAGCTGTGATCGCAGACTCAGCACATTCATCCATTCATTCAGACACGCATGATAAAGATCAGTCAGAGCTGTAGATGTGAGGAGAGCAAAGCGACACACCTCTAAGATGTTCTCAGTGGGATCCAGGTTCAGGAGAGATGCCGTGGGTGTTTCCTGTGTGAAGGTAAACACGCTCAAATCAATCTGAGTTGTGTTAAACCTTCAGAAGGATGCAGAATTTTTAGGTTAGCATCTAAAATTGATGGGTTTTGATGTTTTTAAAGGCTCAAAGGAAACCATTTACCAAAAATTGAAATTCATAGCCGTATATCATCATGTTTTTGGTGTGAAACACCTGCTGTTTAAACTCATCTCACACATTAAAGCCTCTCCTTCAAGCAAAAGAAACACAATTTCTTTGAAAAACAGGATATCTAAACATTAAACTTTTCCTTTTTTACAGATTTAGCCGCAGCAGTGGTTCACAAACATAACAGAAAGCAAAAAAGACAGAATTTGAGCTCCAAGGCGATGATGCATGACAAATTCACTCAACAATTTCACTAATTTTTCACCCATTTTCTGCATAAAGGTGCTGGAACTTATTGAAGGGTGAAGTGAATTCATGCAGCTTCATTAACATGTTTGGTGCCAGAAAATGAATCTGCAATCAGGAGGACTTTCCTATGCAAATTAAACACGGCTGAGCTTTGGAAAAGTAAACCAGAAGAAGGGATTTTTTATTTTTTAATAAGTGTCAAAGTTGTGTAAAGACAATTTCCTCATCCTAAAAATGTGTTCAAGCATTAATAAATTGTAGATCTCTTTTATTTGACTGAAAAGGGGACCACGTTTATTCTGCAGCACTGCAGAGAAACACGTATATGAAGGATGTCCAAAGTGTGGCCCTTGGAGGGATTTTTTGCGGCGCCCACCTGCATTTGTAAAATGATGAATTTTTCCTATTTTACATATTTTAAATCTATTTTGAGTAAAATGACAATTAAATATTTATTTTTAAATCTTTATTCATCCAGAATTTGTTTTTATTTACAACAGAAAATGTTTTCAGTCCAAGATTTTGTAGCCTCCTTTAGTACCCTCAAACTCTGGTTTTAGCTTTTTGCCTCACCTCATCTCTTACTTTTACTTGGAGGCTCACCCATGATGGCAACAGAAAAATCAAACATTTTCTTTTTCTTCGTGTGCTTTTTATAGACGTACAAACTGAAAATGCTAACCTCTAGCAGTACAGCAACAGCTGTAAAGAAGGCAAAGAGCACCCCCTAGGACACCCAACTGCTCCACAGAACTATCTAGTGCGGTTTTTGGTCAGCAGACGGCTGCAGAGTGGTGTCAAATGTGAAACCGGTCAAGTTTCTAACTCAACAATCCCTGAGATCAATGTTAAAGCTTTAGATTAAAGTTTAAAAAAACTATATGTTGTTACCTTAACTTGATGGTTTTGATCCTCGTCTTGAAAAGTTTGGAGACCCCTGATGAACGTTCCTCATCCTGGTTCTCAGATCCTGAACCTAATCAGTTTGTCTAATCAGAAACAAATCTGGTCGTTGATGATTAAATGATCTAATTATTGCAGCTGCTTTTAAACACTGTTCTGTCTTTCAAATTAAATTTTCTGGGCATCAGAAAGTTGCTAAATTAAAAGATGAGTAAAATTTTGTTCTGCTCTGTGCCATTTATGGGCTTTTCTTCCTTTATCTGCTTGATAAAAGCAGCCTGTAAGATCTAATGTAACAGTTTTTATTGTTTCCACCTTGATGCATTAAAACAAACTGTCTCTTTCTGTGCCCCAGCACATTCCAGCAGACCTCCGTCGTTCTCTAATGAAGAGGTTCTAATAAAGCACCCGTCAGTGTGGCGCTGCTTCACCCCATCCCCACTCAGACTCTGGGTTTGTGATTCCTCAGGGACGCAGAAACGAGCAGCAGCCGCTCCTCTGCTTCTGTCTAGATTACAACGCTCCTTTGGGTTGATGCTAGAATTTCTTCAGACCAAATAAAGAAACCTATAAATGTCACTTTGTATGATTATTGATCACTCCTGCCTGACTTGAGTTATTTAAACTGTCTTACCGTGGTTTTATGAAAAGAAATGCTGGAAATAAGTCCTGCAGGTGATTTTCAGGGTTGTTTCTTAGCTTTTAGCCTGATTAGATATCTGAGATCAATAAAGTGTAAGTGCACATGACTGAGGGACGTAACTTCCTTGTAGAGACAGATATTCTCCTGATTTACCTGGTCTGTGATGCCATCTTTGAATCATAAATCTCTTTTCTTTCATGAAGCAAAAATTTACAGCAGCATCTTACATTTTAGTGCTGGGGATCAATTATTTGTAAAAGCTTAACTAGTTTTATGCAGTTGGGTCATCTTGGATTCTTTCTACAACCGGTTTTATATTGTTGCTGTAAGCCTAAAATCTGGTGGATTTGATTTAACCCTTTGATGCATAATGGTCACTACAGTGGACAGGTACTCAAAATTGTTATTTATTTGTTTTTGCTATTAAGCACAGCTGTTGAAGACTTTATTGCATTTGAGCCCCTCCATTTGGACTTCAGTAAGCCAAGCCAAGATATTTCATGTTCAGAATGCACGCTGTCCACTGAGGTGGACATGTAATAAATTATTAGTAAATTATAAAATTTTACAAAAATTATTTATTGAAATTTGTTTCATTCACACCTAAAGATGAATGAAAAAAAATTGTTAAAAAAATCATGGTTGAAGATTTCATAATTCATGCATCAAAGGGTTAATTTGATTTTCACAATGAAAAAACAACATATAATACACACATGTTCACAAATGTGATGGAGAAATTCCCAACCCCCCCCAGAGGTTTTATTAATCCATGGTCGGGTGAGCTCTTGGTGCCAAATTAACATCATCAGGCTCCAAAACAGAATCCATGAAAATATGAGCAGATGTCGGCCTCTGAATTTCATTTTTATTTCGTTACTTGATCTTTTGATGAGTTAAGTTGGATTTAGTTGTGCTTCCTGGTTAGTCTAAATCTAAACTTTACTGCTGGTTTTCATACAGCTGATTTGTTTGATGTTCATTAAAGGTTTGTTTAAAAGTCTGACTTCCTGTTTTAGTTTGAAAATGGGTTTCTCCAGGTTCATCTTCCTTCAGTTTGCAGCTTTATTTCATGATGATTCTCTAATTTGACCTGCAGCTTTCAGCTTAGAAATAAAGCATTGTTGCCTCATATCGTTGTGATGTGGTTTATGGACAAACATCGTTTTAAAATTGCAAACATACGGTAATCATGAATGTGGAAAGACCTTCTGACAAGATAAGTTAACAGATGACACACTGATGAGTTCTACAAATGACATCCATCAAAAACGTCTCCTTAGATGATTTATTTAATCAAAAAGCTTCAGAAATACTGATTTGTGGCATCCGAGTCCCACGAATAAAAACTGCATCATTTCAGGAACAAATGATAATTGGAATGGGAATAAAACCACGAGGGTTAGGGGATTTGAACTGGTATTTATTGAACCTGGAAGCAGCGTTCTGACTTGACCTCTGCTGGCTGCGAGTTTGCGGTTTACAGATTCTGTGATACGCAGAAAAATTAGCTTTTAGTCATGTAGAAAGTCATCAACCAAATAAAATAAAAAATCTGTTGAAAGTACAATTGTTTGGGAGAAAATAAAAAAGCAATATTAAGCAATAATCGGTGTGTCATTTGCCTAATAAATCCAGAAAAAGGCCATAAATAAACAATCAGAGTAGTAAACTACTAACAAAATATTCTATTTTATGGAAAACAAAACATTTCAGACAGCAACAAGTTATTTAGAGTTGCATTGTTATATTTCTAGGGTAAATGTTCCCAAACATTTGCTGAGTTAGTTACATATTCATATTCAAATTGTGACTGTTTAAATGTGTAGTTTGTTACATTCAAACCAAAACAAAGCCTGATGAGGGGATGTGATGTCATGTTTCCTCCTGGCTGCAGCTGTGGTGCATTTTAACTTCTGTGTTTGTTACGCAACAGAACCAGCCGCCCATGTAACAGACCAATAAAAGGCACAGAGCCTAAGCCGCCAGGCTGGCTGGTGGAGCTCACACACACGTGCGCACACACACAGTAGTTCCCAGCTGTGGATGTTTTCTGACCGATGAAAATCTGCCAGAATCAAGTGGACTTTTCAGGCCTCATTCATAAAACACAACGTAGCGCCTCTGAAGTGATGCACACAAGGGCGGTTGCTTGTGTGACTTCAAACAGCCTCCATGAAACCTGTAAATATGTTTGTTTCACCTCTGAAATTAATTATTTTGGACAGAATGAGGACAGATGTGAGGGAAGTACAGCGTATGTTAATCAGAGGACGATGTTTGTGTTTGTCAGTGGGACATGTGTGTGTGTGTGTGTGTGTGTGTGTGTGTGTGTGTGTGTGTGTGTGTGTGTGTGTGTGTGTGTGTGTGTGCGCGTGTGTGTGTGTGTGTGTACAAACCTGGCTGGCGGTCCCTGAACTGTCACTCGGGCTGAGCACGTCTCCCTGTAAGGCAGACAGGACCGACTGTTCAGAGGTGGAGCGAGTTGCAGATGGGGGAGATGCTGCATGTGAGTGGGGGAGCGAGTGCAGACTGTCTGTGTCGTCTCCCCCTTCATCTTCCTCATCATCATGTGTGTCTTCATCCTCCTCTTGATCATCCTCCTCCTCCTCATCATCATCGTCATCGTCGTCGTCCTCCTCCATGACGGGCCTTGGAGTCTCCCGTGTGCCCCGTGCCCCCCGTGCCCCCTGATGGCAGAGCACCAGGTCAACCAGGTCCTCCTTCTCCCTGCACGTGTCTGTGGGGATGTTGCGCAGCAGCAGGTACTGGCGCAGGTCTTTGACTCTGAGCTGCATGAGGCGAGGCCGCTGGAAGGCTGTGCCACGCAGCAGGTGGCAGGTTGTGCAGCAGCGTAGGTTTTCTTGCAGCACCGAGCAAAGCGCGCAGAAACTCTTCCTACAATCACAGCAGATGTGCTGCAGAGCAGAGGAGCAGGTGGGGAGATGTACACCATTAATAACTAATTCTTCTTTACATACCACACATGTGCACAGTTCTCATGAGTTAAACAATTTAGAAGAAAAAAATCTTTTCAAAATAAAAAAGGAGATTTAAAGCTACATATACCTTATAGACAAAGTAAAAAAGGAGCAGTTAAATGTATTCTTGAGGGCTTTCTGCTCTCAAAACTAAACAGTTTTCATCTATGTTTAACAAGACTCTTTCATGCAACTTAGCAGATTCCAATTCCAATTCAAATTCAAAAATACTTAATTAATCCCAGAGGGAAATTAGAGTTTCAGTACACACAATTCTGAGATCAGACATACATATTTGACATTCTTGCTCCTTGTGATGAAAAAATGAACCGTCTGTGGTAATGGGGTTATCTTATAAAAGCTCTGACAAATGGAGCAGCTGAGCTACATCTACTGATGACATTGCTTTGTAAGAAGAAAAAAATGGAGTAATAAAACTTTAAAACTCAGTCAAAGCCCATGTGGCTTCTGGATAAATATTGATGCAATAAAATCATTTTAAAGTGGCTATTTATGGATAACTGAAATGTCCAAATCTGAGACAATTAATATTGATAAATAGTGAATTTAATATATGACAAAATAAAAAATTGTTTTGCTTTCAATCCTGATTCAGTTCTTTTCAGTTTCGAGTATTTTATTATACAGTAGAACATTATTCGTCATAGATTAAACATGTTTTTTTTAATAAATTAGGGATTTTTAAATTTTATTTCCATCACCCTTTCAAAATAAAACTCTGCCATATCTGATAAAATCACTAACTATCGGGACCCTACCCATCAACTTCCAGACCATGGGTCCCCGGAAGAACGAAAAAATGAATGCCAGTCAATGGGGCTAAAAACGCTATTTTCTAATTCCGCTTGTTACGTGCCATGGATTTCATATATGATGTCTATGAATTTTAAATAAGCATTTTGATACCAAGAAAGCGCTTATTTTCCAACGGGGGGAAATGTTATTTTATGTTTGTATGAAAAAAAGTCCGGTACTACAAATGCGCTTCACAAAACTGACGTCATTGAATCAGACACGGAGAAAACTTAGAGAAAATGACTAAGTTAAGCGAACTTAAAATCCTTTCTTCAGGAGGAAAGAACCACCATAAATCTGGTGTTTACTTAGCCTTTTGCTTACATGAAAGTGTTATAGGGAGCCTAACGCTCCTCCCTTTCCAGTCGGCTCATGGGTCCCTGGAAGAATGAAAACATGAAGTCAACGGGGCTAAAAGTGTCATTTTCTAATCTGCTTTGCCTTACACTCTGGATTCCACATATTTTGTATTTATATTTAAATGAACTTTGAGATTGATTAGCTTGTAAAATGTCGTCGTTAGCATGACTACAAATCCGACATTGGTATGTCGCATCTGTGACTTTACCACAGAGTCTCCTCTCCCCTAGCGTAGCTGCTACTTACCAAATGGCTGTGATCTGACCTCAACCATCTACTTAAGGATTCATTATGTTATCTGTCTTCCAGAAACAAAGGTGTGGACTCGAGTCACATGACTTGGACTTGAGTAAGACTTGAGTTATTATTTTAATGACTTCTGACTTGACTTGATAAAATCTACAAAAACTTACGACTTGACTCAGACTTGAACGCCAATGACTTGCAACTTGAATCGACTTGCATCTATTGGCATGACATGGACAAAAATCATGAATCATTATTGGTTCTGGGTGTGATCTTGTACTGCTAAATGCAGCAGCACTTTGTTTATAATCAGTTTCAGTTGCACTTTCTGCTTGTTTGAGCAAATAAATTAAGTTTTAACTAATTTATTACCATTGCAATTAAACTGAAGTTGGACAGTTGACTTGAAAATTCAAAGTTAAAGACTTGGACTTCCATATCATTGACTTTGGACTCGACTTGGACATGGTTGTCTTTGACTTGGACTTGACTCGAGACTTGACTGGAAAGACTCGTGACTTACTTGTGACTTGCAAAGCAGTGACTTGGTCACACCTCTGTCCAGAAACAAAAACTCGGGTCGATGATCCCCGCACCTCGCCCCACGTTGGTGGCGCTCACCTTAGTTGTCATTAAAATAAACCTTTCCTTTGTTCATGAACTGCATATTTGAGTCTGACTGATTCTTCATGTTGTGGGTAAAATCCACCGCCCCCAACATGACAACAATGAGCAGGATTAGAAAATAGTGTTTTTAGCCTCATTGACTTGCATTCATGTTTTCCTTCTTCCGGGGACCCATGGTCTGGAAATAGATGGATGTGACTTAGGCTCCCTATATCTGTGGTTGCTTTAATGGCCAGTACTTTTAGACTGCCTTCTTCATTTGTTCAGTATGGTAGCCCAGAAGGTTCAAATGGAATACAAACGGTGTGAAACAACATTGAAAAGCAGTGACTCAAAGTACTGTTTAACATAAGCTGTGTATAGAAGCAGGTGGGACTGAATGAGCGTGCTTAGTTCTTTTCAAACATAACAAAAGGAATTGTGTTGTACTAAATAAATTAGCTAAAATAAATAAATAAGACCTACAACAGAAGTATTGATAGAACGAAAGCTTAAATGTGTGAAACACTTGTTTAACAGCCAATAGTAACACAACACTTCCACTGACTGTTTGCTCTGCAAAGTTGATGTTTTATCTCCACAAATAACTCTAGACAGGAGGTGTTCTGCTGTGTTGAGTGTTTGTGAGTTGCCAATGTTAATGGTTATGCTTCTGGCATAATTAGGGTATTGACATAGATTTGGTTTGATCATCAGTTCCAGCTGACTACAACTTACATTTTATACTATTTTATTTGGCTATAGGCCTGTTTTTATTTATTTTAATTTAATTTAATTATAATTTCATTGTAGATTTTGCTGTGTTGTAGTTTTTTTTATTTCACTGAACCTTCAGGGCCACTGTAGGGGGTTTAGGCCTAATACAAAAGAAAGGCATGCAGAAGTATAAAAACATGACATGAAAATGTGACAATTAAAATAAACCAAAAAGGTGAAAAAAAAACTTAAATAAAAATCCATTCATATCAAGTTAAACTATTACTACTCATTCTTTAGTTATTTAGAGAACACAAACAAAGCCAAATAAATAACTAATAGCTAACCATTCCTCAGTGGCGCTACAGAAAGTACCTGTTTGAATCCAGTATTGTTCATAAAATGGAATGTTTAGGAAATTAAACTAAAATAAATAAACAAACAAACAAACAAACAAATAAATAAATAAATAAATAAATAAATAAATAAATAAATTCTAATAAAACATACAAATCCTAATTTTTTCAGTAAATGTATACAAGTTCTTTAAACAGGCCTTTGGCGGGTTCAGTCCTCCATCTCCTGCCTATGTGTGAAAGAGAATCAACGTAAACAATCAACAAAAGTTGTTTCTAGAACAGAGCCAAGAAAAGCCCCAGGGCTCCTGGTGAAATGTGACATTTAACAGGCTTAACTCTGACTCAGAGTGACGGAGTAGATTGACACTTCAAATGGACAGAAAAGAGGGTCAGCCATGGCGGTCAACATTTCCTTATCGCTTCAGCACAACTGGCTCCACATCCACCAGGAGCACATTTCCAGCATAACGGATGCTTTTCTTCAATCAGCTGTTGTTAATCCCCCCAGCAGCACGTCTTTCTTCATATTACGAAAATATCACTTTGACACTCTAACTGGAGTCGACCCACGTCAGAAAAGGCAACCTGATGTGTGGAAGATGAAAATGAGATCTTAGCAAAGAGGAAGCTGAAGGACGGCAGAGGTTTTATCAGCGTGTCTGGCTAGAGGACAGATCTGTTCATGGTCTCTGAGCCAAGACCATGAAAATGTCAGCATTGCTGTGTTGCTGTACAGCTGCAAGCGTGTTATTCCTTCCTTTTATTACGAAAACTTAGTGTAGTATCATTTCATCCCTCAGAAACGACACAAAATATGTACTTTTATAAAGAGAAACCTTAATAACTACCCAGGTAATGAGTAGTTTATGTAATGAAAACAAACAGAATCTAATTACATTAAAGGCGTCGAACACTTGGTTAATCGATACAAAAGCAGTGGTCACTAGTAGAAATGAATCCCTTGCAAGTCTCAGATGTGTTTGTTTCAGGAGCTAGCAGAATGCCACGTCAGAGGAGAACTTCAGACAATATGATTTTAAGCCTTATTTCCTGATATTTGGACATATTGCCTTTGACTGGCTAACAGCAACACGACTCTAACACTGAATCCACTTGCTTTGCAACATTGATGTTTTATCTCCACGAATAACTCTAGCCAGGAGGTGTTCTGCTGCGTGGTGTACTAGCTAATGCTAATGATTAGCATCTACTAGCTGAGACGTGCTCTACTGATTCCTGGATGCTAAACCAACAACAGCCTTCCCCGTTGCAAGCCAAGATGGGTGAGTCCATGATTGATAAAGCTGCTATTCTGTTTTTACAGGAAATACATCTTTTTTTTTTTTTGCTAAGCCTGCCCCGGTCCCATATCTCAGCGCCGGTCAGCACTAACCAATAGCGTAACGCTTACATACAGACGTCAATCCCAGAGCGTGCGCCAGTGTTTAAGGGCATACCTCGATTGATGCGGAGTTAGCAACCTTTCTCATGGACAAGTAAGTCGTTAAAATATAAATGTATGAAAACACACCAGCATAATAAATGTTAAACAATATGTTTTAGGTCTGAGTCTTCAGATAGAGGTACGTGTTCATGAATGAGAAACATTTTGGGCCGTAAATATGGGAATTAAACTAGGTCATAGTGTGATACACTTGTCAGCCACAAGATGGTGCGATCAGATAAAAGAGAAAATACGGGCAGCTACTTTAAGTGACAGTGTGATGTAAATCTGTCAGACGTTTCACCTTCTATTTTCTATCAGAAGCTAAGGCAGGAGATAGGTGTAGGAGACTATTTTCATGTTCAGCCTGTATAAAAAACTCAGAGTGAGAAAACATAATCAGAAATAATCAATGATAAATGTTTTTTCAGTGTTCCACACCTTTAAACAAACTTTTTCAACCAAATGTTTTATACAAGAGTTGTAATAAATTAACTGGATATAGTAGGAAATGTTAAAAATTAAATCTTTCCAAGTAAAGAAAAAGAAAGAGAAATAAAACGATCTTTTCTATAGCGCCTCTCAAGATAAAATTCATGAGGCGCTTCACAAAAACAAAAAAATTTAAAATATAAAAATGTTTCAAAAAATGATCAAAAACATGTTTAAAATAAGCAAAATTAGACAATTGTGATTAAAAATGCAAAGAAAGAGAGAGAGTGAAAAATAGGAAAGAGGGAAATCAGTGGATCCTGGGGAAGGCAGAAAAGGTGGGGAGAGCAGAGTAAGGGTGGCGATGAAGGTCACGCAAAAGCCAGCCTGAATAGGCAAGTTTTCAGCTGCTCTGTAAGAAGGGAGATTTAGCATTTTAAAACGTGATTCTTCCTGAATCCCTGAATGAATCATGACACAAATAAAACCACATCAAAAAGCAGCAATGCCTGGTTACTAACTTTGTGTACGATTTGACTTTTGAAATCTCACATCCGTGTGTACCTTGCGTCTGAAGACAGAGAAGGCCAGTCCGCAGGCCTTGCACAGCTGCCCAGCGCTTCCTGAGCTGGTGGGGGGGTACGTGGAGTACCCTGCGCTTGGGGCGAAGCGGAAGGGCCCTGCTCCCGCTCCAAACCCCGGCTGCTGCGTCCGTACCGTTCCCGTTCCCATCACCTCGTTCAGCAGCCCACAGCATGACGCCCACATGGACGATGCCCCCGCCTGACACAGAAGACACAGAGACAAAAAAAAAATGTTTGAACCAGAAGCTGAACACAATGGCTCAGTTAGCTTAGGCTTGCAAGATGGAGCAGTTGGTTAGCACTGTTGCATCACAGCATAAAAGTCGCAGGTTTGAGTTTCACCTATAGGTGCATTTGCACGTTCTCTCTTTGCATTTTTTCTTGGACATTCTGGTTTCTTCTCTGCAGTCCAGAGCCAGTCCTGGTCCTTGACAGTGTTGGGCAAGTTACTCCAAAATTAGTTACAGCTTTTAAAATGTGATAAGTTTGTATTACATATGGTCTCAGAAATGTAAATAACACCACTTTGAGTGACTTTTCAGTTACTTTTTGAAAAAATAAGTCTTACTAAAATGTGACGGCTTTCTAAAAAACTAGAGCGACACCACAATGTGGTGCATTTTCTCACTATTTTATTAAACAACATGTCACCAATACCTTTGCATCTGCTTAGTGTGTGTGTGTGTTTCTAATTGTAGTGTTATTAAAATATCTCCTGAACCATTGGATGAACTTTAATGAAAATATCAGAAGGTAAACACTGAAACAAACAACTGATTAACTTTTGAAATGATTCCAGTTGAAGATGGCTATCACAGGAATTCAACATTAACAAGCAGAAAATGGCTAAAATTATTAATTAAGCACATATTTGGGCTAAATTCGCTGTTAGTAGCCAAGATTCATTCAGGACACAATGAAACTGACCAACATTTCTCAAGCTCAAATGATCTTTTAAAACTCAAAAAGGGCAAACGATGAAATTCCTTCCTTCCTTAGGAAGGCCTTTGATCGACCACTTCCTCTGACCTGCAGCACTGAACAGGACCAAGTGGTTACATAAAGTAGATGGACAGTAAAATCCATCAACACTTTCAAAATAACCAATCAATAAAACTGAATTTCTTCATATAAAGTTTAATAATCAGGAGCATTAGCATGATGGATCTGGGGAAATGCAAAATTCAGCAGAAGGGTGAAGAGTCAGGATGTTTCCGCCCACTGCTTTGCTCTGACAGCTCGGAGACGAGTAGCGAAGATGGTGCGATTGGAGACATGGCTCCTTGGAGCATACAGATGAGGAGGAGGAGGAGGAGGGAAGGGGAGGACAGGGAGGGGAGAATACATCTCCTGTTGTTCCCCGGCCTGCAGGATCAATAGCTGACATGACCAAATTGTAAAAGCCCTCTGTGGCTCACGGCTCTGTGTGGAAGACAAAAGGGATTCACGGGGTCCTGCCCCATCCCGACTTAAGGCAGCGCTCGGCTCTGACTCGTCACAAACACTCTGTGATCTGACCTCAACCATCTACTTAATGATTCATTATGTAATCTGTAGGAACAAGGCTCTATTTGTGGAGTCAGGTTGAGAAGGAGGAAGGACTGCTCTCCCTGCAGGCTGACACGTGGACTGTCTGTTGTCAAAGTTCAGCTAGACATTTCGTCTGTAAATTCTTCACCTCTTTGCTTTCCCACCTCTCCACCCATCCACCTATTCTAAGCTGCTGCACTTTGACCTAGAATGTTTTTGTTTGCAATAGATGCAGCATAAAACCTCTATGATGCATTTCACAATCACATTTAAAAATGCTGTCATAATTGCAGCTGATGGCTTAAATGGTCAACATGAGTTCACCTCTTGAGCCCAAATCCATCAGCAGCTTGCGAATTGTTTAGCATAAATACTCCATGATGCATGAGTCGCCTCTGGCATCGGCCTGAGCTGGAGTTTTGCTGCTTAAAAGTCTTCCTGGTCAGAGACGTCCTCCCTCATCCCTCAGCCAGGACTGAAGGCACAAAAATGAATATTTACTGAATCCTCTGCAGTCTGGCCGTAAAAAATGAGTCTTATTTGGCTTTCGGCCAGCAACCTGACTCCCTCCGTCTCATCCATTAGCACGCTGAAATCTCTGCAGGCAGGGAGTCCCAAACAAACCAGTGACAAATGCTTTTTACATGAGCTACGCGCCTCTGGACATAAAAGTGGAATTATGTGTTCCCTAAAAGCACCTTTGGACACTTCCGATGTTGGATACGTGGGGAATATTTGAGACATTCCTCAGACTGTTGTTAGATTATAATTGGAAAACAATCTCGTCTCCACACCACACCACACACACACAAATCCAGAGCTGTAGAAACTGACAGAGTCTCAAACCTAAATAAAAGCGCCAAAGAGGAAGAAGCTCATGGATGAACTGTTATCTGACCTCATAACGTTCTTTTTTTAAGTTCAAAATTCAGAAACTGCACAGGCTCTTTGAGCTAAATCAGAACTAACTGGGTCACACAGCCTGGGATGTTTAACCAGGACTTCACTGACGGGAGCCAAACAGCTAAGACCTCAGTTTAAATTTGGCATTTTTTGCAAGCACTGGTTTATTTTTCCAGCAATAATTTACTTTTAATGAAAACCATTTTAGTGTTCTTTCTCATTTTTAAACACAAAGAATCCACACCATCTATGGCAGTTTTTAAAAACCTCCTTTGTTCATCTAGAAGCTTGAACTGACAGCAGAAAAGAAATTGAGTGAATTTAGCCTCTTTTCACAGTTTTAGACACCCACATTTAAAACAATGAAGGAAACGCAAACTGCCAACCTAAATCAGTCAATTTGGCTGATTTCTGAAGCAGATACTAAAAATAAATATGAATCTTCTTAGATTTGAAAGTACTGATGTGTAGTAGTGTTAAAAAAAGTTGGTGCAGGCTTCAATAAATTCTCAATCCTTAAATTGGTGGTGGTCAGAGGGACCAGTGGCGCTGTTACTCGGTGGCCTCGCCTCTGTCAGTGCGCCCCGGGGCAGCTGCGGCTACATTGTAGCTCATCACCACCAGTGTGTGAACATGTGTGTGAATGGATGAATGATGCACTAGTGTAAAGCGCCTTGGAGTCCTCTGAAAGGTGCTGTACAAGTGCGGGTCATTTATCGTTTATCATAAATTCATCAACAGGAAGTCAAATGAATGAAACTCTCGTCAGCACCTATGTTGAATCTTAAAAAAGTACTTCATTAAATCAACGGACTCCTTTAAACTCCGTCAAATCTCTGCCGCTGACACATTTCTATCATCTCTTGTTAAAACCTCCCAGCTCAGACAATGTTTTCCTATCAGCACTCAGATGTGCACACAACAGATGGTGTTTTAAAGCGTTAGCTTCACCGTCCACAAGTTCACGAAGAACGTCTTCGTCATCCACCGTCTCTTCTGCACTTTTCATTTCCTCTTTCTCATTTTCTCCTCTTGCATCAGCTGGAGACACCGTTCAAACTCAATTTAACTGGAAATATTACTGCTGGAGAAAAATAAAATCTCCTTCTGACATTTGTCTCCAAGTAACAGGACTACGCGCATGAGGACCTTGTTTTCACCTAAACACCTAACCTAAATTAGATTTACTGAGAAAGACATGCACAGCTACCAACTGCAAAGGTTAAATCTAGGATTACTTGAAAGAACGGATTTCACTTGCAGCCTTTCATGCTTTAAATGGAAGAACTGATGGCGTTTTTGTTCAAAATAACATAATTAAACCTTTATTTCAGTATCAGTAAAGGTGAGTGAATTTTTTGTGATTTTGAAGCAGACCTAGAATTTAAAACCACATTTACCTTGTTGTTGAATAAAGACAGCTTGGGGTATGAAATGTAGAATACCAAAATGTCTGTACTGTCTCTGACCTGCTTCGTAATGTTTTAATGGCCACAGAGAAACAGTTGGGTCTCAGAAAAGCTAGCTTAACATGTCAAAAGCTAAATAATTTTCCAATTGTTGGCAACCGTTCAGTCCACACTCATACCCAGCTGCAGTTTTTACCATACAGTATATTCTTAATAACAATGTGGTAAGGTGGAGAAACGAGGGCCCGGGCGGGATTCGATCCCCAGACTCCCGGGTGAGAGTCACACGCTCTAACCAGTCAGCCAAAGGGACATCCCCTTGGCCAAGTAGCCAGGGTGCATGATCAGTCGGGACACTGTGACAGGACGCTCACACTGTCAGAACAACATTATTTGAACAGTTTTTAATGGGAAATTATTAAACAATCTTATGAAGCAGGCTGAGGTAGCAAACTCAAAGTGCAATATTAAAAGTGCAAAACATTAAAAAATGTATAATCTTTCAGTTAAGTCCCGTTTCAGTTTTTCTGAATGAACTTTGACTCCTGCACACAGCATAGACGCACAAGAGTAGACACCGCACCAACCGCTACTGCCTATGTTTGGCCGCAATTGCAGGTTCTACGTTTTATAAACTCTATGGCTAACAGGATGTTTTAGCTAGGCTAGGCTTTAGCTCTGGAAAAGCACTGTGGAGATTTGGAGCTAGAAAAGCGAAAGAACGCGCTCATAAACCCGTTCACGCACGCCAGGACGAACGCACTCACTTTTAGTTTCGTCAGGCAAAACATGAACGAGTTCAGTTCACGTTCACGGAAAAAATGAACAAATTCACGAATGATCGTTCAATGAATGCATTCGGGCACAACACTGGCTGTAATGCTACCTTCACAATACAAGCCCAAGCTACTGCTACTGCTAGCCTGAGCTACTGCTAGCATCCTTGATGGATGAGAGGAAAGCAGTAAAGAAGATGGATCGAGCACACTGAATTCCAGGGTGTGCTGGGAGTATCAAAACTGAATAAATGCCACCCTTCTCCTCTTCCTCATTTGAGAGGAACAGTTTCAACTTCAAAAAGATCATTCTAGTACACCTTTTAAAACTAATTTACTTATTTTTTTCAACACATTTGAATTGGTCTCTAGTACAAAAGAGTGCCTTGTGAGTCGAGCTCTTGCTCTGGCGCTCCTGTTTCAGGAACTACACGTTAGCTGGAGAAGAGGCGACCAGAAGACGGCAGGATTTGGAGCAGGGTTGACCAATCCTGGTCCTGGAGGGCTGGTATCCAGCAGGTTTTTAGTTTTAACCGTGCTTCAACACAACTGATTTCAATGAGCAGGTGATTAACAGGATT